ACTAAACCACAGCACACCCCATGGATTAGGTCATGTCTTCCATTTTACTGAATAACGAACAAAAGTAAATGGTAAGAAACTAATTTCCTGCCTCCCCCTTCCCTACCCCAACTCCTATGCATCCTTCAAAACCAGGTTCCTGTGACGTCTCCTCCAATGGCTGCACCTGCAGCATAGTCAGCCATGTTGCCCTCGGCTCCCCAACACCTCTGTTAGCTACCTTCTCACTACACTGCAGTGGTTACCTGTGTGCTGGCCTGTCCGTGCCCTGCAGACTGTGAGCCCAGTAAGAGCAGGAACTGTCTTCTTCTTTTCTGTACCCAAGCATTTGGCGCATAGGAGGGAAACATCCTTCAAGCAGTAGACAGTTACTAGCCTATACTTCCAGCTCTATCCCTCTTCTTGAGTTCCAGCCATGGCTTTCAGTTTCCAGCAGCTACCCTACCTGCACATCATTCATAAGAAAGAGCGCTTACCATCTTAATTCCCAACCAGCTCCTTTATTTCTTCATTTTTAAATTTTGTTGGAGTATAGTTGATGTACAGTGTTGTGTTGGTTTCAGGTGTACAGCAAAGGGATTCAGTTGTACATGTACATGTACTCACTCTTTTTCAGATTCTTTTCTCATATAGGTTATCGCAGAATGTTGAGTAGAGTTCCCTGTGCTCTACAGCAGGTCCTTGTTGGTTGTCTGTCTTATATATAGTAGTGTGTGTATGTTCATCCCAAGCTCCTGATTTATCCCTCCCCACCACGTTTCCCCTTTGGTAACCATAAGTTTGTTTTCAATGTCTGTACGTCTGTTTCTGTTTTGTAAATAGGTTCGTTTGTATCATTTTTTAAAATCGGACTCCACATATGAGTGATAGCATATGATATTTGCCTTTTTCTGGCTTACTTCGCTCAGTGTGACAATCTCTAGGTCCATCCATGTTGCTGCAAATGGCATTGTTTCGTTCTTTTTTATGGCTGAGTAGTATTCTATTGTATATATGTACCACATCTTTATCCATTCCTCTGTCAGTGGACATTTAGGTTGTTTCCATGTCTTGGCTATCGTAAATAGTGCTGCAGTGCACGTATGGGTGCTGGGTGCACGTATCTTTTTGAATTATGGCTTTCTCCCCAACCAGCTCCTTTCTGAATTGTCCGTTGGGGTTTGAGGCATCGCTGTGTTCTCGACCACAGACTCTGGAATCCTCCCCTTATCTGCCCCATTTCCCCGCCCCACCCTCCCATCCAAGAAGCTGCCTTTCTGAACCTTCTCAGAGCTGCCCCGCCTCCGCCTTTAGTGGGTATGACTCACCTGGGGAGCATGTGGAAATGCAGCATCCTGGCTCCATCCCATGGATTCAGACTCCTTGGATCAGGAAACGAGTGAGGCTCCCACTGCCGGTGCTATAGCAAGTTTGCGCTGATAAATCTAGGAGCTGGTTGGCAGCTGAAGCAGAGATGATGGGTTAGGGGTAGAGAGAGGTACAGAAAAAGAAGGGAAAGGGGCTGAAAAGTTAGGTTAGCCCACCAAAACCTGCTGCCTAGGATTGCTGCAGTTGACTGAAATTTAGTAATCACTGAGCGTTCCCTTTATCGTTTCAATAAATATTTACTGGGTACCCACTGTGTGCCAAGCTGGAGAGTAATAGCTAACATTCATTGAGTGCTCCCTTTGTGCCAGGCTGGGATGGTTGTCCCAACAACCCCATGAGGGAAGCGAGGGGGCAGGAAGGTGAGCGGAGGCTCACGGTTGCACAGCTGGTGTGCGACTGCGCAGGACTGTGACCCGGAGCCCGGGCTCCTGACCGCTCTTTTGCAGTGAATGCTCCAAGGAGATCCAACAAGACAGCACTCCATCCTCCTGCCATTTACTTTCTAGTGGAATTCCTTAACAGGCTGTCATTCTATTCTAGTAAGTTGTTATTATAGAAACCAGCTAGCCGTGTTCATCATTTCTTTCTTTAAAAAAGAAAAAATTAAATCCTGAAGGCATGGTTCATCAGAAGGCAAAGGAGAGAAGCCACATCTGTCCTGAACCAAGCTCCCACAAATGAGTTACAGAGCATGTTCCACTCGTTCCCAGTTTTTTGGTTTTTGTTTTTACTTTCCGGTGTTCAAAGTTTTTTAAAAAGTCTTTAATTCAGCAGATGTGAGATTTGGCAGATAGAAACAGGATAGAGTAGGTTGGGAGTGAATCTATATATGGGAAGAGAAAATGCAGTGAGAAAAAATAATTAATAGTTGGGATGTGTTCAAATTCATGCTTTGCAGGGAGGCCCTGTTTTGGTTGGTGAGTCATCTGTTTTTTGTTTTTTTTTTTTTGGTAAGAGTGACATTAAATGGCTATGATTGTCCTAATGCTGAACTGGGGGAAGCAGCACTAATATTGGTATGAAGTTTCAAAGTAAAATACTAACTAGAATATGCTCACAGCTCTGAGCTGGTATAGGCTTGTGTAAAAGGCCTATAAGAAATTAGAAACATTCAGTCTGTTTTTAAATTGCATTCCATACATTTTTGTGAAGAATGTTTCCATAAAAGACTAACGTGCTGTTGGTGGCAATAAAGAATGTGGTGTCTTCGCAGAAGCGATGGCATAATAATTGCACACTCGTGTAGCACTTTATAAAGTTTAGCAAGTACTTTTTAACAGCGTGGGTTTTCACAGAGACTTTTAACCTGTTCGCTCATTTTTATTTCATCACAAAGAAATGGGGCAACTAAAAGAAACCAAGCCTTCTTGGAGAAATAAATGTCTGCTTCCAGGGCTAGGGCAGGGAGGGAACATGAGCCCGCAAGAAGACGTGCTCCGAGGATGATGGGGACGTGTCGAAAGTTCTCGGGAGCCTGCCTGATAGGGCTCCCACTGAGCAAATCAGGGATGAGTTGGGCATCAAAATAAATAGTAGTAAAGGATTATAACTTCTTGAATAAAATGAGAATCCATGAGTGCCTACTAAGGTAAACGAATGAATAAATACATTGGGGAAGAAGGAACACTCCTCTTTATATTAGAAAGTCAACTAAAAAATGCAGAAGGAATGATGGAATTGGAAAAGTCACCACTTACCAACCATCATAATAATTGGTTCAGGCAAGAATCATGAATGGATGTTAAAAGTAGGGTATTCAAGTTTGAGGAGTATTGTGACGTTTATATACTCTCAGAGTACTTCCCCACAAAGTACTTTTTCATGACAAAAGGCAAAATGGTAACTGTACAGTGGAGAACCCTGGCAGACGCCACCTTGACCAAATGATCCGAGTAAACATTGCTGGTGATGGGACTAGCGGGCTGCCTCCTGACGGGACAGGTGTTCGGGGCAGGACCTCAGCGCTAGTCTGTGGTGTCCCTGCCAAACGTACATTACCCAAAGCTAATCTTGAGGAAGCATCAGACAAGCCCAGATTGGGGAACAAAATAACTAGAGATGAAGGAAAGCAACCAGTGACTGCAACACGTGATCTTAGGTTTTCTTTTGCTATAAAGATATTGTTGGGACAAAGGAGAGCATCTCAATAAGGTCTATAGGTTAGACATCGTATTGTTTCAGTGTCAGTTCTCTGACTTTGATAGTTATACTGTGGTTATGCAAGAGAATTCCTTGTTTTCAGGAAATACACACTGAAGTATTTAAAGAGAAGGAAGGGAAGAGGGGAGGGAAGAAGGAAGGAAGGATTTCCTGAGAAGGGGCACTGTTGTCACAAGGGTTAAAGCACAGAGTCAGCCCCTCAGCCCAGGCTTCAAGTGAGGGAGGTGGGCACTTCCCCAGCGAGTGCCAGCAGCTCCCTGGGAAGGCCAGAGCCGGAGCCTTGCCTCTCTCTACCCGTGGTGTTCTGTCTGTACCGAGACACCACACCTTTCCTGGGGCTGTCCCCTGGCCTAGAATGCCCCCTTCCCTCCTCCCCACCTGCCCAGAAAAAGGCCCAGCTGAGAGATTTAGAGGAAGGAGAAGCAGAGGTGGGGTTAGGAGCCCGGCGCAGCCTCCAACCTGAAAGGGAGTGGCGCCGCACAAGGGGACAGAAGCCACATGACCCCCACCTCAGTTTCTTCACCTCCACAATGACGGCATGGACTGGATGGTTTCTGGGGCCCTTTCTGCTACTTTGCGTGAATTTGTCTCCCTCTGACAGCCTCTCCAAAAGCCCCCCAAAAGCTCTCCCTTGGCCTCAGGAAAGAGGCTGTGTTCCCAGCCCCTGAGAGATTGATTTTTGGAGTGCCTTCCTGAGGTATGTACCTTCTGCAGATCATGTGTTCAGACTTGTGGAATGTTGCGTTGACCTCTGCCCGCCCTGTGAGTTTTCAGTAAATCCACAGTGTACTGTTTGGAGGGTCAGTCAATTTGCTCTTTCCTGCAGCACGTGGATTGGGCAATTACCATGTCCCAGACCCGTGCCCGGCATGGGGGGGACCAGTGAGGAAACACAGGGCCTGCTGTTGAGCAGATGGTGCACGTCCTGGCACCTGATAGGACGGTTTCTGTAAAGCCACTTGTCCCTGTGACTGGAAAGTAGTAGGTAAAAGAACCAGAAGCCCCCACTTTGCTCCTGGTCAGTTGTATGAACTCGTATCAGCTGGATAACCTCTGTAAGCCTCAGTCTCTTCACCCATTCAAAGGGAATAGCGATCTCACTCCACTGCCTACCTGCCCGCCTTGCAGAGCTGTGGCCCTTCAGTGGGAGAGTTCTATGTAGAGCTTTGCATATATGAGGCAGTCCTGTCCTTTTTCCCTCAACGTGCATATATGGAAGTGCTTTGAAAAACAGGTGTCATTTTTTATTGAAGTATAGTTGATGCACGATATTATATAAGTTATAAATGTAGGGTCTTAAACACAGAGAGAATGACAGCTTGTCTCTACCTTCTCCTGAGCTTGAAAGAGACAGCATCGCGAGGGCAATAGGGTAAAGCGCAGGAGAATGAAGCACCGATGGCTCCCCTGTGCCAACTTGTGGCTCAGACCTGGTCCTTGGTCACGGGATTGCGTGTGTCTTGTCCTTGCAGTGCACCAGGTGGCCGAGCGCGTGGAGGCCCTGGGGCAGTTTGTCATGAAGACCAGAAGGACCCTCAAAGGCCACGGGAACAAGGTTCTGTGCATGGACTGGTGCAAGGATAAGAGGAGGATCGTGAGCTCCTCGCAGGTACGTCACACCTGTCAGGTGATGGTGGGCACATTTCTGATTGTAAGCTGAAGGGAAAGAGCCGTCCTTTTCAAAAGACCCTCTCCGAATGCTATGTCTCTGCCTGTTCGCCAAAGGACACGAGTTACCCCGGTAAGAATTCTCTGGCATACTTGAAAACTTCACTCATTTGGGTAGATTTGAAATCAGTAATAACTGAAATATTATAAACTCTATTTTACAAACCATTCAAAAATTTTCTTCCTGAGTATATTTCAAGGTCTTATTTGTAAGTGAAACCATTTTTAAATTAGGGGTTTTTTTCCTCCAAGTTGAGGGCGTAAGTGGTTGAAGTGCCATTGTGGCCTCTTTCAGTTTAAGAGTTTAGCAGTTTTTATGTCTTAAAGAACAAATTTAAACTATGTATTTTGTGACGTATACTTTTTTCATTCATTTTATATAGCTGACATGGTTTATTTTTACATCTTATGGATTAGTTATTAAACCGCTACATAACAAATTACCCCCAAGTTTAACAACTTACACAGTGAATATTTCGTATCTTACATGGTTTCTGAGAGTGAGGAATCAGGAGCAGCTCAGCCGGATAGTTCTGGCTCAGGGTGTCTCACAAGGTTGCAGTCAAGGTGTTGGTCAGGGATGCAGTCATTAGACAGTTTGGCTAAGGCAGAAGCTCACTTCCAAAATGGCTCACTCACATGGCTCTTGGCTGAAGGCCTTAGCTCCTCACCGTGTGGACCTTTCCATCGGGCTGCTCACGGCGTGGTAGCTGGCCTCCACCAGAGCAGGAGAGGGAGACAAAGGCAGAAGCCGTGCTGTCTTTGATGACCTGGCCTCAGAAGTGACATTCCTTCCGTTCTGCCTTCCACTGGTCACACAGACCAACACCGATATAATGACGGAGGGGCCTGGACAAGGACATGTCTTTCAGGAGGCTAGCTACCACTGCTTAGTGCTTTTTATGTCTATTTTGATGTTACATTCGTTGAACATAAAACCATAAACTGAAGTCATATATTTTTATGGCCAGTTTACCGCCCCCCCGACCCCGCCTCTGCCTTTAGTCCAGCTTTTTCAAAGGAAAATTTGGTTTTTATTTATAACCCTTTTAAGTATCAAAACTGTACATATTCTAAATAATCCATGAGTTCTAATATCTCTGTCGGTACTATGTTTGATAGGACAGGTGTTATTAATCTCCTGTATTACCTACAAATCTAGTATATCACGTTGCACTTGCTTTTTTAATGTTCATAAAAAAATTTAATGTATCAGTTATGTATTTAACTGGAAAAAAGAAAAGGTTTTTACCCCTACCACCCTGTTACAATCATTATTATCTTACAGCACCTCTTTCTAGACTTTTTTCCAAAGGCTCCTTTTTGCAGAGTGGTTGTTGAGATGTACATGTTGCCACCTAGCCTTTTAGACTTTTTTTTTAATCCTTAAAAGGATGCCATATGTTGGACTTTCTGTCGCTCGTGTACCACTCTTACTAGAGAGGGTGGGAGAGGAGGAGGGATGCTTCAGCACTGCTGACTGACTCCATCCATCCACCTCTACTGCAGAGGGAGTCGGAGAGGTGGGTGGGGGAAGGGAGGAAGGTGGGAAACAGCAGAAGGGCTCTGGAACAGACTTTGAGTGACTCAGAGCAGCCTTTCTCCCTTAAAAGGCAGGAAATTCATCTGCCTGACTGAGTGGGTTGGGGTTTGGGGTGGAGGCACAGTCTCTCCAGGTATGTAGGCCCCTGGTGTCTGTGCTCACGGAGGGACCACATTTAGTTATGAGACTGCTTTTAGCGTCTTGGTTGCCTTTCTCTCTCCAGAGCGCACAGTAGGTGGGCGGTGGAGCCAGGCAGGCGGGCTGTGCGGTGGATGAAGCCTCTGAAGGGAATGCTGACTTGGGTGATACACTGAGTCTCTACCCCCCCCCCCCCCGCCCCGCCGCAGCCCTCTGCTCTGTTATCTAATTCACCCACACAGCATGTATGGGCGTTTAGTCAGAAAAATTAGAAGCACAAATGTGCTTAGGAGTCTTAAAAGGCCCCAAACCGCAGACTTTGCCTTTGATCACGGCCTCTCAGCCCCACACAGCGTGAATATGGAAATCCTCCATCAGATCAAGTGAAGCAAGCAGCTGTGTCATTTTCATTACTCAGACCTTGCTGGTGCCCCTAAGTGGCATTCACCTCACTCGCCAGATCTGGCTCCAAATGGCTTGAGTGATTAAAAAAAATCAAGCCTGCGGTAGAGGCTGCAGATTCTCCATCCCTGAGGATGTGGGGGGGACCCATGTGCTGAAGGAGGTCGGCTCAGCCGTCCTCCTCCACTGCCAGCGGGAGCCTGGGGGCCCAGACAACCCTTACACCACGTTCTGGGTAGACGACTGCACTGCAGTGACCGGGGCTTACGTGGGTTTATCTCTGATGGGTTTGCATTACAAACAGATGGCATCATAGCCCCTCCCCACACTCCCTACTGGGGCTGCAGAACGATTGCAGTGAAAGTGGCCGTGTTGTCTGTGGCATCGCCTAGAGCTCACCCTCCACAGGGAGTGCTCTTTGTTTCCGGAACAGCTGCCCACGGGGGTCCCCACCATCATAGGTGTGAGTCCCATGTTGTTTTGCAGGGTGGGTGGGGGTGAGGCTGTGATGTCCCTGAGCACCTGGGGGAGTCAGACTGATGTCAGACCCACCCAGTCCCCCTCCACAGCTTCCACACAGGGAGGGGGGCGAAGAGTGGGGTGGGGCTCTTACACGGTCCTGCAGGGAACGTGGACTCAGGCGAATGGTAGGGAGGACAGGCTGGGGAGGTGGGGTGGGGGGACCATTAGTTACTGTCAGGCATCTGAAGGTAATTTCAGCTTTACCTTATCCCTGTATAACTTACTGACATTCGGGGTACGGTGGTGATGACAGTTTACCAACAATTTGTGCTTGGTTTATAATTGGCATAAAAGAAGTGTCTGAGTGTTGCTTTCTGTCATTGTATCTACACAAGGGATGCAAGGTTGAGAACTGAGACTTGCATCAGGCTGGAAAGTGCTGTCGCCACCCACTCCCATTTCTTCAAGGATGGGTTGGAGGGTCTTGATTGTCCAGATACTTGCTCTGGCTTTCCACTTGGCACTGCCCAGCTGGACTTGGCTTTCCATGAGGTTCTCAGCAGTTAACGTGTTAGGGCTTGTTGACAATTTTTGAACTGTTCACTCTTTTTTGTTTTTCTTCAAGTGTAGTTGAGGTACGATATTATATAAGTTACAGGTGTACAGTATAGTGACTCACAAGCTTTAAGGGTTATGTACTCCATTTATAATTATTATTAAATATTGGCTATATTCCCTGTGTTGTACACTATATCCTTGTAGCTTATGTTATACATAACAATTTGTACCTCTCCATCCCCTACCCCTATACTGCCCCTCCCCGCTTCCATCTCCCCAGTGGTGACCTCTAGCTTGTTCAACTGTTTACTCATTTCCTTCCAGGATGGGAAGGTGATCGTGTGGGATTCCTTCACTACTAACAAGGTAAGGCATTGTCCCTGGTGGATTGAGGCACTTCAGAACCCCAGCCCTGTCCTCGTCCTCTCCAAGCACCCCACTACTGGTCTCCCTGCCCTTCAGGAGCCTATTTGGGGGTGCAAACCCCATGAAAGCCCACCCGTGTTCGGATGGTTCAGCAGCGCACTGTAGCATTCATTCCTCTCTTGAGCCGAACACCTCGCCCAGAGAAGAGCATGCAGGGCGAACATAGAGGGTGCCGATAAGGAAACAGGAAAGGGCATGGCCCCGAAACTTGTCACATTCACACGTGCTACTACCGCATTTAGGATTTTTCTTCTGGCTGATGATAAGAGGTACCCAACCCCCAGTTTCCTCTCCCCTTCTCTGGCTTCGACTAGACTCCATAGCACGTGGACTTGAGCAAACAGTGGGTGGGGAGCTGAGACCTCAGTGGGGTTAAACTGCTCTTCACAGGGATGCCGTGGAGTCTCAGCCCCTTGCAAGTCTGGCATAGGCATGTACTGCTCCAAGTGAGACCTAAGTTTAGACTTGTAATGAAACAGAAAGGCCAGAATCTACGTGTACGTGCGCTTGCATGCCTGCATCGTGTTGGCATTTGCAGTAACAAGTACTGTATATTAAATATGGACTCCAGTGTTTACTTAGAAAGAAAGTCTTCCTTTTCACTTTATAAAAAAGAAACCTATTATCTGTCTCAAATTGAACAGCGTCCTTATTCCGCATTATTGAACGTGTTCAGTAAGTGTCATAATAGGCAGTTGTTATACAACCTGCTCAAGGGGGCCCAGAACCATCTTGTAGAGCAGAGTCCGGAATGGTCAGGCCCCTGGGGAATAATAAAAATGACAACGTAACAATTTGCAGAGGGCTTTCCTATACATCACTCTGCCTCTCCAGAACTCCTCAGCATCTTCAGGGGTGGGGCTAGGGGGTTGCTTCTGTTTATGCCTTAGCATGGCGTAGAGCACACGCCTCCTGATGTCTGGGGAGCCATTGGGTTGCCGCTTGTGGTCCCTGGCAGGGCCATAGTTATCACTTGTCAGCAAAGGGGCCGGGATGTCCTGTGCTGAGAGTGGCCACTCGTTCGTGGAAGTAGGTTATTCATGATGTCTGAAGGGCTACTACTCCATGAGTGACAAAGAACTTTGACAGGCAGTATCAAGGCCCATGTCTCCCCACGAAAACACAGAGAATCATAACAGGAAAGAAGACCAGCACTTGAATGTACTTTACAAACCATCTAGTCCCATCCTCTCCCTTCCCAGACGGAGAAGGAGAATGAGGTAAGACAATGGCCAGCCTGTGTGAGGCTGCACATCTCGCTGGTGTTAGAACCAGGTCCAGGGCCCATGGCTCCCATGGAAACAGGGCCACAGACTCAGAAGTTTTTTGAATCATGCCTTCGTTGCTTATATGCGTGCAGGAGAATACGGGTGACTCAGACCCCAGCCAGGAGCCGAGGACTTACACCTCCTCTGAATGCTTCCATGTTACAGGTTTCCTTTTCTCCCAGAGCACAGCTCTAATCCCCCTCCCCAAGCCCACCCGCATTCCTACCTGCCCAGGAATGATTTAAGACCCACAGAGGACAGAGGCTCTTGCATGCTCACTCACAGGTAAACAAACTTGTAACATACATGTAAAAAATCATTCAAGAATACGTTTTTAAAATAGAGGGAATCTGAGTAAATAAGGCGAAGCACATACGTATGTGAGACGGATCTTTCAAAGAAAATGAGCCCCAATATTCATTCAGAACAGCAGGGGGAGTACAACAGTAAGAAAGAAGTAAGACGTTACGGATATTCTTTTGCTAGTCGAGATTTTTAACTTTTAGAGTGTATGACATAAAGCTTGGTTGATTATAGAGGATCTGAGTCTCCTCATCAGTCTCAGCCCAAACCACTGACCTTTGAAACTAGAAAGTAATTTGGTAGACGCTTCAGTGATTTTACTTGGTAAAAACTGACGCTTGTGTAGCAGTGCCCTCGTTCATCGCGTGCATGGTGTGTGCTGTGTTGCAGGAGCACGCGGTCACAATGCCCTGCACGTGGGTGATGGCGTGTGCGTATGCCCCGTCGGGATGTGCCATTGCATGCGGGTAAGTATGGGTGACACAGCAGCGTTTCACATGTCCTGTTGGCCATAAAATACTGTTCTATGACCTCTCTCCTGGAGGTCAGGTTAATATCTTTAGTCTCTACTTCCTTCAGAGGTGAGAACTCACAGGATGTGTCCCAAAACCTCCATCACAGATCACAGTGTTAGACTGTCCAGTGGCCAAAACCCCAGGCAAAGACACTCCCAACAGACAGGACATTCCAGGGCCTTAGAGATCACCTCCCAGTAGCGAAGGGCAAAGGCCAGACCTTCCATTAAGTAAGGTTAATTCTTCAGTACTCAGTAGGAATGATAAATACTCTACATTTTAAAAAACCCTCGGGTAATATGTTTCTAATCAGGCATTAATTCTAGCAAATGCATAGAGTTGGATGGGTTATACAAATTTCTCAATATTTGCTATTGAGATATCAGATGTCTAGCACCAAATTACAAAAAGAACACATTGGGTATATCCTTCTGTGATATATGATGAATATAATGATATAGCACACAATGTCTTCAATAGTAGTTCAGAAAATGATTCTGTAGGCTATTTCTTATTTTAACCCTCACTACATGAAACCCAGTGGAAGGATTTCCAGGAGGACAGGGGGACAGTCAGGGGTGAGAATAATTTTACAAGGCCCAGGTAGACAGCTTTTTTGGTGACACCCGGTTCAGAGAGAGTACAGAGTGGAGGAATGGCTGGTGCCTTAATCTCTTGTCATCTCTGTTTCCCAGGTCCTGGCATGTGGTAGATGGTCAAGACCTGCACTGGCTGTCTCACAGGCTGATATAAAAACCAAAGTAGAAGTTCAAGGTGTGAATATTTGGGAAAGCACTTTTTAAAATATCAGGAGTCCCATGGATGAGGAGAGAGCAGAAAAACTAAACTGAGAAAGACTGAGTCCTCATCTTAGATAAAAGCACCGTCTGCCCTACTCAGACCATGCTGCGATTCATTTTGAGTTTCCAGTGATAATCTAACATAGTGTTTCCCAGCTATGGCTTTGTGACATCCCTGTAACTCCATTATCACACAGATCCACACCTATGTCATATTCTCTAAATGTCGTTACAGGTGACAAAAGGGTGTTTTTCTCTTCATCTGGGTCTATCTCTCAGTTGGTTCCAAACTTGAAAGCTAAAACTCCACCAGTATATACACAATTCCCTTCTCAAAAAAATGTGTCAGTTGATTTTATATACATATATGTGTATTTTTTTATTTGAAGCCATATCACCAAGAAGCCTTCATTCAGGTATTGTACACTTGCTATGAGCACCTGTGTGCAAGGCACTGGACTGGGTGTCCTAGGGAAATTCAAAGATGAATAAAACATAGTACCTGCCTCCAAGCAAGAATAAAAAAATAACAATAATAACCACTTACTGAGCCTCTATCATGTGTCAAGAGCCATTCTGAACTCTATATCATCTTCACAACAGCCCCTTGTGAAAGGTGGGTGGGATCCACTCCATTTTATAGTTAAGAACACTGAGGCTTAGAGAGGCTAAAAAACATAACAAAGATCACAGAATGAGTTAGGTACTAAAGCAGAGATGCAATACCAAATGCATCACATTGCAAAACCTTTCTGCTTCTCATAGCAATGCAAATAAACCCAAGTGTGAGTGAGTATCCCCACAGAGCTGCAGAAATTACTCTGAAGCTTCAGAATAGGAGAACATGTTTCACCTTGAGAGTCAGGGAAGCCCATAGTCTGAAGCATGCTGGTTCATTGTCACAGCCAAGTGCAAATCATTCCCACTCACACCATCTATAAACATGCTGCCAAAGCTAGTTACTGGTAAGAGACTACCCAAGTCTACACGGGCACCTCCAAGCAGTTGGAAAGGCAAAGGGGTCCCCTAGGTTCCCCAGGGCCTCAGAAGGGAGTGCCCCTCCTAAATGTCATTCCCCACTAAATGGAAGCAGAGCTCCTTGGAGTAAGACTGATTGTAGGTCTAGGGCAGGAAAAGAGTAAAGTGAGCCTAGGATATTTTCTTGTTCCAGAAAGCAAGGGAACACTCAAGTCATATTAATGGAATCTTATCAAACAGAAACAGGAGCCGCTTGAAGGGCCCCCCGCCAACTTTCCAAATTGGGATAATTTTAGCATCACATGGAATAATGGTAGTAATGGATCATAACCCAGTTGAAGAGAAAAAAGAATCCATGGGTGTGCAGTGATACTGGGAGGAGGAGGGATGGGATTTGTCTTTACAGAAAAATATCAGCTAATAAATGCAGAAGGAATTATCAAATTAGAGGATCACCATTTTGTATCATAAAGTAATATTTTATTCAAGCAAGGTTAATCATGCTAAAGCCATTGTATGATGGTTGTTGGCAACAGGATATTAACATGACCTAAAGGTGTCACACCACAGATTATTATTACAGGCATACCTTGGAAATACTGCAGGTTTGGTTCCAGACCATTGCAGTAGAGCAAATATCACAATGAAGTGCGTCACACAAATTTTTTCGTTTCCTAGTGCATATAAAAGTCATGTTTACACTATACTATAGTCTAAGTGTGCAGTAGCATTATGTCTAAAAAAAAATGTATATACCTTAATTAAAAAATGCTTTATTGCTGGGCTTCCCTGGTGGCACAGTGGTGGAGAGTCTGCCTGCCGATGCAGGGCACGCGGGTTCGTGCCCCAGTCCGGGAGGATCCCACATGCCGCGGAGCGGCTGGGTCCGTGAGCCATGGCCGCTGAGCCTGCGCGTCCGGAGCCTGTGCTCTGCAACGGGAGAGGCCACAACAGTGAGAGGCCCGCATACCGCAAAGGAAAAAAAAAAAAAGCTTTATTGCTAAAAAATACTAACCATCAACTGAGCCTTCAATGAGTCTTAATCTTTTTGCTGGTGGAGGGTCTTGCCTCAGTGCTGATGGCTGCTGACTGAGCAGGATGGTGGTTGCTGAAGGCTGGGGTGCCTGTGGATATTTCTTAAAGTAAGACAGCAGTGAAGTTTGTTGTATCGATTGAGTCTTCCTTTCACAAACAATTTCTCTGTCACATGCAGTGCTGTTTGATAGCATTATAGCCACAGTAGAACTTTCAAAATTGGAGTCCATCCTCGCAAAACTTGCCACTGCTTTATCAACTAAGTCTATTAATATTCTAAATCCTTTGTTGTCATTTCAACCACCTTCACGGAGTAGATTCCATCTTAGGAAACCACTTTCATTGCTCATCCGTAAGAAGCAACTCCTCACTCGTTCAAGTTTTATCATGAGATCGCAGCAATTCAGTCACATCTTCAGGCTCCACTGCTCATTCTAGCTCTCTTGCTGTTTTCACCATATCTGCAGTTACTTCCTCCACTGAAGTCTTGAACCCCTTACTGAAATCTTAAACCCTTCAAAGTCGTCCACGAGGGTTGAAATCAACTTCTTCCAAACTCGTATTAATGTTGATATTTTGACCTCTTCCGATGAATCACAAATGGCCTTAATGGCATCTAGAATGGGGAATCCTTTCCAAAGGTTTTCAACTTACTCTGCCCAGATCCATCAGAGGAATCCTATCTATGGCAGTTATAGCCTTACGAACCGTATTTCTTAAAGAATGACTTGAAAATCAAAATTTCTCCTTGAACCGTGGGCTGCAGAATGGATGTCGTGTTAACAGGCATGAGGACAGCATGAATCTTGTGTACATCTCCATTAGAGCTCTTGGGTGACTGGGTGCATTGTTCATGAGCAGTAATATTTTGAAAGGAATCTTTTTTTCTGAGCAGTAGTTCTCAACAGTGGGATTAAAATACTCAGTAAACCATGTTGTAAACAGATGTGTTGTCACCCAGGCTTTATTGTTCCACTTATAAAGCATAGGCAGAGTAGATTTAGCATAATTCTTAAGGGTCCTAAGATTTGGGGAATGGTAAATGAGCATCGGCTTCAACTTAAAGTCACCAGCTGCATTGACCTCTAACAAGAGAGTCAGCCTGGCTTTTGAAGCTTTGAAGCCAGACATTGACTTTTCCTCTCTAGCTGTGAAAGTCCTAGATAGCATTTTCTTCCAATATAAGGCTCATTTGTCTACATTAAAAATCTGTTGTTTGGTGTAGCCACCTTCATTATTGATCTTAGCTAGATCTTCAGGATAACTTGCTGCAGCTTCTACATCAGCCCTTGCTGCTTCACCTTGCACTCATGTTATGGACAACAGCTTCTTTTCTTAAATGTCATGAACCACCTCTACTAGCTTCAGACTTTTCTTCTGCAGCTTCCTCACCTCTCTCAGCCGTCATAGAATTGAAGAGAGTCAGGGCCTTGCTCTGGATTAGTCTTTGGCTTAAGGGGATGTTGTGGCTGGTTTCATCTATCCAGACCGCTAACACTTTCTTCCTTTCAGCAATGAGGCTGTTCTGCTTTCTTATTCATGTGTTCCCTGGAGCAGCAACTTTAATTTCCTTCAAGAACTTTTCCTTTGCTTTCACAGCCTGGCTGTTTTGCACAAGAGGCCTAGCTTTCAGCCTGTCTTGGCTTTCAGCATGCCTTCCTCACTAAGCTTAATCATTTCTGGCTTTTTATTTAAAGTGAGAGGCATGCAGCTCTTCCTTTCACTTGAATGCTTGGATGCTATTGTAGGGTTATTAATTGGCCTAATTTCAATATTGTTGTGCCTTAGGGAATAGGGAGGCCTGGGGAGAGGGAGAGAGAGAGAAGAACGCCAGTCAGTTGGAGCAGCCAGAACACACACATTTATCGGTTAAGTTCACCATCTTATATGGGCATGGTTCATGGTGCCTCAAAACCATTACAATAGTAACAGCAAAGATTACTGATCACAGATCACCATAACAAATATAACAATAATGAAAAAGTTTGAAATATTTGTGAGAATTACCAAAATGTGACACAGAGACACAGAGTGAGCAAGTGCTGCTGGAAAAATGATACCAATAGACTTGCTTGATGCCAGGTTGCCACAAGCATTCAATTTGTAAAAATGCAATAAAGCAAAGCGCAATAAAACAAAATATGCTTGTAATTACAAACAAATCACCCTTACCATGGAGAGATCTGGTGGTCCCCACTTTGACCAAGTAATCAAAGCTGGCGTCACCAATCTTGACACAAGAGGCATTGCAAGCCTCCTAAAGTGAAGCAGTAAGAAAGAAATAACACAATATCACCTTTATATATCACATTTATATTATTGTTAAAAATGTTATACTTGAGGGACTTCCCTGGTGGCGCAGTGGTTAAGAATCTGCCTGCCAATGCAGGGGACACGGGTTTGAACCCTGGTCCGGGAAGATCCCACATGCCGCGGAGCAGCTAAGCCCGTGTGCCACAACTACTGAGCCTGTGCTCTAGAGCCTGCGAGCCACAACTACTGAAGCCCGTGTGCCACAACTACTGAAGCCCGTACACCTAGAGCCCGTGCTCTGCAACGAAGAGAAGCCACTGCAATGAGAAGCCCATGCACTGCAACTAAGAGTAGCCCCCGCTCGCTGCAACTGGAGAAAGCCCATGCACAGTGATGAAAACCCAACGCAACCAAAAATAAGTAAAATAAAATAAAATTTTTAAAAAATGTTATACTTAAATATAACCATTAAGAAACAACATGACAAATCCAGACTGTGTGACATTCTGTAGGACAACTGACCTAAGTTCTCTCATTATAAACAACCAAAAAAATGTGTCTGTTCTCCATTAAAAGTTCTAAAAAAGATATAAAAACAGAATGTAATGTGTGGATCTAAATGGGCCCTGGATCCTGGAGACAGTTGGGAAAGAGTGAATATGGATGGCTTATTAAATGGTGTTATGGAATTTCTGTTTTCGTAGATGTGATAATGAGTTAGTGATTATAGAATATGTTCTTATTTTTAGGAGATGTAAATTTGCAAATTGAAGTATTTAGATGTAATGTGTCATGTCTGCCACTTGTATTCAGATGGTTCAGAATTTGCTGCCACAAATATGGCAAAATGTTAAGTTAGTGAACGTATGTGAAGAGATCTGGGTGTTCATTGTACTATTTTCTCTTTCAATTTTACTGTACATTTGAAAATCTTCAAAGTAAAAGCTGAGGGAAAGGTTACAGCATATGATACTGCCAAAGGAAAACAATTTGAAAAGTTTGTGTGAATGAGAAAGCATACGCATATTCTACTGCCCTATGTTAACATTTGACACTTCTGTCTTTCCATGCTAGTGGCTTGGATAATAAGTGTTCTGTGTATCCACTGACGTTTGACAAAAATGAAAACATGGCTGCCAAAAAGAAGTCTGTTGCTATGCACACCAACTACCTGTCGGCCTGCAGCTTTACCAACTCTGACATGCAGGTAAATAAGGGGACGCATGATGACGGGCCAGCCTGCTGGGGAGCAGGGTTGGTCGTGGAGAGCTAAAGCAGAGTTGCAGGCGAGGAAGCTGTGCTGGTGTCCCTCTTCACAGGAGGCTGTGTGCACTCCAGTTGACTCTAAGAGGAAGCTCCTGTTGTTTTTCATATATATGTGTATATGTATATATGTTTATATGTGTGTGTATGTGTATATATGTGTGTGTATATGTTCCGCGGAGCGGCTGGGTCCGTGAGCCATGGCCGCTGAGCCTGCGCGTCCGGAGCCTGTGCTCTGCAACGGGAGAGGCCACAACAGTGAGAGGCCCGCATACCGCAAAGGAAAAAAAAAAAAAGCTTTATTGCTAAAAAATACTAACCATCAACTGAGCCTTCAATGAGTCTTAATCTTTTTGCTGGTGGAGGGTCTTGCCTCAGTGCTGATGGCTGCTGACTGAGCAGGATGGTGGTTGCTGAAGGCTGGGGTGCCTGTGGATATTTCTTAAAGTAAGACAGCAGTGAAGTTTGTTGTATCGATTGAGTCTTCCTTTCACAAACAATTTCTCTGTCACATGCAGTGCTGTTTGATAGCATTATAGCCACAGTAGAACTTTCAAAATTGGAGTCCATCCTCGCAAAACTTGCCACTGCTTTATCAACTAAGTCTATTAATATTCTAAATCCTTTGTTGTCATTTCAACCACCTTCACGGAGTAGATTCCATCTTAGGAAACCACTTTCATTGCTCATCCGTAAGAAGCAACTCCTCACTCGTTCAAGTTTTATCATGAGATCGCAGCAATTCAGTCACATCTTCAGGCTCCACTGCTCATTCTAGCTCTCTTGCTGTTTTCACCATATCTGCAGTTACTTCCTCCACTGAAGTCTTGAACCCCTTACTGAAATCTTAAACCCTTCAAAGTCGTCCACGAGGGTTGAAATCAACTTCTTCCAAACTCGTATTAATGTTGATATTTTGACCTCTTCCGATGAATCACAAATGGCCTTAATGGCATCTAGAATGGGGAATCCTTTCCAAAGGTTTTCAACTTACTCTGCCCAGATCCATCAGAGGAATCCTATCTATGGCAGTTATAGCCTTACGAACCGTATTTCTTAAAGAATGACTTGAAAATCAAAATTTCTCCTTGAACCGTGGGCTGCAGAATGGATGTCGTGTTAACAGGCATGAGGACAGCATGAATCTTGTGTACATCTCCATTAGAGCTCTTGGGTGACTGGGTGCATTGTTCATGAGCAGTAATATTTTGAAAGGAATCTTTTTTTCTGAGCAGTAGTTCTCAACAGTGGGATTAAAATACTCAGTAAACCATGTTGTAAACAGATGTGTTGTCACCCAGGCTTTATTGTTCCACTTATAAAGCATAGGCAGAGTAGATTTAGCATAATTCTTAAGGGTCCTAAGATTTGGGGAATGGTAAATGAGCATCGGCTTCAACTTAAAGTCACCAGCTGCATTGACCTCTAACAAGAGAGTCAGCCTGGCTTTTGAAGCTTTGAAGCCAGACATTGACTTTTCCTCTCTAGCTGTGAAAGTCCTAGATAGCATTTTCTTCCAATATAAGGCTCATTTGTCTACATTAAAAATCTGTTGTTTGGTGTAGCCACCTTCATTATTGATCTTAGCTAGATCTTCAGGATAACTTGCTGCAGCTTCTACATCAGCCCTTGCTGCTTCACCTTGCACTCATGTTATGGACAACAGCTTCTTTTCTTAAATGTCATGAACCACCTCTACTAGCTTCAGACTTTTCTTCTGCAGCTTCCTCACCTCTCTCAGCCGTCATAGAATTGAAGAGAGTCAGGGCCTTGCTCTGGATTAGTCTTTGGCTTAAGGGGATGTTGTGGCTGGTTTCATCTATCCAGACCGCTAACACTTTCTTCCTTTCAGCAATGAGGCTGTTCTGCTTTCTTATTCATGTGTTCCCTGGAGCAGCAACTTTAATTTCCTTCAAGAACTTTTCCTTTGCTTTCACAGCCTGGCTGTTTTGCACAAGAGGCCTAGCTTTCAGCCTGTCTTGGCTTTCAGCATGCCTTCCTCACTAAGCTTAATCATTTCTGGCTTTTTATTTAAAGTGAGAGGCATGCAGCTCTTCCTTTCACTTGAATGCTTGGATGCTATTGTAGGGTTATTAATTGGCCTAATTTCAATATTGTTGTGCCTTAGGGAATAGGGAGGCCTGGGGAGAGGGAGAGAGAGAGAAGAACGCCAGTCAGTTGGAGCAGCCAGAACACACACATTTATCGGTTAAGTTCACCATCTTATATGGGCATGGTTCATGGTGCCTCAAAACCATTACAATAGTAACAGCAAAGATTACTGATCACAGATCACCATAACAAATATAACAATAATGAAAAAGTTTGAAATATTTGTGAGAATTACCAAAATGTGACACAGAGACACAGAGTGAGCAAGTGCTGCTGGAAAAATGATACCAATAGACTTGCTTGATGCCAGGTTGCCACAAGCATTCAATTTGTAAAAATGCAATAAAGCAAAGCGCAATAAAACAAAATATGCTTGTAATTACAAACAAATCACCCTTACCATGGAGAGATCTGGTGGTCCCCACTTTGACCAAGTAATCAAAGCTGGCGTCACCAATCTTGACACAAGAGGCATTGCAAGCCTCCTAAAGTGAAGCAGTAAGAAAGAAATAACACAATATCACCTTTATATATCACATTTATATTATTGTTAAAAATGTTATACTTGAGGGACTTCCCTGGTGGCGCAGTGGTTAAGAATCTGCCTGCCAATGCAGGGGACACGGGTTTGAACCCTGGTCCGGGAAGATCCCACATGCCGCGGAGCAGCTAAGCCCGTGTGCCACAACTACTGAGCCTGTGCTCTAGAGCCTGCGAGCCACAACTACTGAAGCCCGTGTGCCACAACTACTGAAGCCCGTACACCTAGAGCCCGTGCTCTGCAACGAAGAGAAGCCACTGCAATGAGAAGCCCATGCACTGCAACTAAGAGTAGCCCCCGCTCGCTGCAACTGGAGAAAGCCCATGCACAGTGATGAAAACCCAACGCAACCAAAAATAAGTAAAATAAAATAAAATTTTTAAAAAATGTTATACTTAAATATAACCATTAAGAAACAACATGACAAATCCAGACTGTGTGACATTCTGTAGGACAACTGACCTAAGTTCTCTCATTATAAACAACCAAAAAAATGTGTCTGTTCTCCATTAAAAGTTCTAAAAAAGATATAAAAACAGAATGTAATGTGTGGATCTAAATGGGCCCTGGATCCTGGAGACAGTTGGGAAAGAGTGAATATGGATGGCTTATTAAATGGTGTTATGGAATTTCTGTTTTCGTAGATGTGATAATGAGTTAGTGATTATAGAATATGTTCTTATTTTTAGGAGATGTAAATTTGCAAATTGAAGTATTTAGATGTAATGTGTCATGTCTGCCACTTGTATTCAGATGGTTCAGAATTTGCTGCCACAAATATGGCAAAATGTTAAGTTAGTGAACGTATGTGAAGAGATCTGGGTGTTCATTGTACTATTTTCTCTTTCAATTTTACTGTACATTTGAAAATCTTCAAAGTAAAAGCTGAGGGAAAGGTTACAGCATATGATACTGCCAAAGGAAAACAATTTGAAAAGTTTGTGTGAATGAGAAAGCATACGCATATTCTACTGCCCTATGTTAACATTTGACACTTCTGTCTTTCCATGCTAGTGGCTTGGATAATAAGTGTTCTGTGTATCCACTGACGTTTGACAAAAATGAAAACATGGCTGCCAAAAAGAAGTCTGTTGCTATGCACACCAACTACCTGTCGGCCTGCAGCTTTACCAACTCTGACATGCAGGTAAATAAGGGGACGCATGATGACGGGCCAGCCTGCTGGGGAGCAGGGTTGGTCGTGGAGAGCTAAAGCAGAGTTGCAGGCGAGGAAGCTGTGCTGGTGTCCCTCTTCACAGGAGGCTGTGTGCACTCCAGTTGACTCTAAGAGGAAGCTCCTGTTGTTTTTCATATATATGTGTATATGTATATATGTTTATATGTGTGTGTATGTGTATATATGTGTGTGTATATGTTTATGTGTGTGTATACGTGTATATATGTTTATGTGTATATATGTGTGTGTATGTGTATATATGTTTATATGTGTTTATGTGTATATATGTGTGTATATGTGTATACGTGTATATGTTTATGTGTATATGTGTTTATATGTGTTTATGTGTAAATATGTGTGTATATGTTTATATATGTGTGTATATGTGTGTGTGTATACGTGTATATATGTTTATGTGTATATATGTGTGTGTATATGTGTATATATATATATATATTTTTTTTTGAGCATGCCACTCAGCTTGTGGGATCTCAATTCCCCTACCAGGGATTGAACCCAGGCCACGGCAGTGAAAGGGCCAAATCCTAACCACTAGACCACCAGGGAATTCCTGGTTATATTATTATTTTTAATAAAATCAGAAATGGGGAAAGTCAAGGCTGTTGACTGTTGGCAGAGATGAGATGAACTCCATGCCATATTGAACCTCCTCCTCTAATTGACTTGGTGGGGGTGGAAGTGGGTCAAGGAACCTTCTGGGGTGGTAGGAATTCCTGTCTGGGTCAGAGAGGTGGTTCCAAGGTGCCTCCGTATATAAAACTTCACAGGTGCTGACTTTCAGAGTTGTGTACGTGACACGCCTCATCGTACCTGTTTTACACTCCCGTTTTAACACATTCGAAAAGAAAAAGCATCAGAGGGTAAATCTGTGCCCTACTTTGAACAAGCCACAAAGTGGAGACAATCCAACTTCAATGCTTTGGCCACGTTTTCTCTCACAAGTCCTAAAGCATCCTATCGTGTCTCTGTCACATCTTTCCAGAAAACCTGCGCAGATGCCACCACCCGCATTGCCAGATACCGGGGGTGACTGAATAGCCGGGGAGGCTGGGAGCTCAGAGCAGGAGTGGGGGGTCGTAAACGTGCTGCAGGGGCCACCCTGGAGGACAAGTGTGTTGCCAGTGAGGTGGAGGGGAGCATTGTAGGAGGCAGGTGGCCTGAGAGGTGGGCAGGGCCCGACCACAGGGTGCCCTGAGTGGCGGGGGTGACCCTACAAATGGCAGGGAGCCATTGCTGGGGCTGGGGCAGATTGGGTTTGTTTGAAGGAGGAGACTGAGTCAGATTAAAGGCCACTCTGGCTTCAGCTGACTGACGTCAGCGGCGGGGTTGGGGGGTGGCAAGGATAGCGGCAAGGAGACCCGGGGATGGGTAATTGTCTCACTTCTGACGGGAGGGCTGTTCCGACTTAGAGGGCAGCGTTTACACCTGTTATTTGCGACCAGGAGTCTTGCAGGCCTGTGCAGTAGAGAGTGCTGTTGCCCTGGCTGCTGCAGTGGCCACATCGGATGTCTTTGGGCCTGAGGGGCAGCCAAAGCAACAGAGGATGTTTAGTCTCCTCTTCTGGATGGTGAATCCTGAACAAGCTTTTATTATTCTCTGTGTTTTGTTTTTCTCACTTGCAAGTGAGGATCGTAGTAAATTCCTCCCTCATGAGGTTTTCTGAGGATTAAATGAGATGATTCATCTCAAATACTTAGTAAATATCAATAAACATTAGCTCTTACTGTTTCGTTATTTATATTAACGCAAAGCTTCATGGGTGATTCAGACGCATAGCCTAGTTTGGGTACCACTGAACTCATGAACTAAGCTTCCTTCCAGCTCTGGGATCTAAGATGAAAAGCAAAAACCTCAAGAAGCTGGTATAAGACCTACAGATTCTCTACATTCCAGAATAAATGAGTGACAATGAGTTAGAGGATCTGTTTAGTGCATTTATCATAATGAATGTTTGGTTTATAAAATTTATTTTTACTTACATTGTAATGAAGAGCACAAATATTTAAAATATTTTTTAAATATTAAGAGGTTACTGTTAACTTTTAAAAACTATTCATTTCTTTGACTGAAGAGTATGGTATGGAAAATTCCCATTAAAGAGCTAGACCGAGGGAATCATTTCAGGCAGTCATTTGTTTGGACCTGATGTCCCAAAAAAGATTGGCAATTACTGGCCCCTTTGCAAATGTTAGGACAGGACTGGGGTGGAGCATCCACTAGTGGGCGTGGCCAGCAGAGATTGGAGGGAATTGTAGCACATCACAAAATACAAGTTCTCAAATTAAGACATGGTCCAAGCCTTATGTGTTCCTAAGCCGCTTTGACCAGCCTGAGTCCTCTTGTCAGGTGTACACAGGCCTCTTAAGGGAAGTCGAGGCCAGAGGGAGTCCCATGGGCAGCTGCATGGGCTTTGCAGCCTGGAGAGTCTCCAAATTTGAGAGCTGCCTGCAAGTGGGGGCTTTGAGGAGGGCCTTGGGGCCCACACCCAAGAAGCCTGAGAACTCTGGAACTCAGCCAGCTCTTTCTCCATGGAGGGGCCTCTCCTGGCTGCAAGAAGATCCTAGGCCTCCCGGACTGCTGGCAGGAACACACTCCCAAGACGGTGTGGCCAGCAGGTGGAAGGCCAGGGTGGGAATGGATTCTTTCCTTGTAATATGTCCCCTCCCTGCAAGAAAAAGAAGATTCTTTTACAAGTGCTAGGCCTAGCGTGCGAGAGGGAAGGGAAGAGAGGGGGGAGGAGGGAGAGGATGAGAGGAGACCACCAGCACGTGGAAACTAGGGGTGCAGCACAGTCAGTGGGTGCACTGAATGCTGGCAGTCTTTAAGGCCTACTTCCTGTTTTCTTTCCTCAGCCATCAGTAATCTCCACCCACAGAGGGCTCTGTTGTGGGCACTTACACTGCAAGAGCCCCTTCCCACACTGTCTTATCACCTCGTCCAGCCCCTGTGAGCAGCAGGAAGGTGGGGCATAGGGAGGCTCTGCTTGCCAGGGCTTAACCCTTGTGGGTCCCCCCATGGCTGCTCAGAACCATGCTGGCTCCAGGGCTCTGCGATACCATCAGCTGGGTCTTTGAGGCCTTGAGCCCTGGATCCCCACTGCCTTTCTCCCAATTGCACCAGAGCCCAAGCCTCACACACACGGGCAGCCACAAAATTTAAAACCCTAGTTCTGGCCACCATGCCTTTCCCCAGGCACCCCAGTGTTCTTCTTCATGCATGGGCCAGCCTTTGGACTTGAAACTATCCAGAGTCTGCTTGAGGGACAGCTGCACTGACCTCAGACAGATTTTCCTAAAATATACCCTTGATATGGTCATTCTGCTCAGAAGCTTTCCACAGGTCCCTCTTGCCTACAGGCTAAAGTCCTGACTCCGTACCCAGGCACACCTTTCATTCACTGCACAGGTGTGCCTTCCCCTCAGCTCGCTCTGCTCTCCTCCCCTTCCTTAGTGAGTGGCCAGCTCTCAGTCCTCCTCTGAGATCAGCTCCCATGTTGCCAAAGCGGGTTTGGTGTCCCTCTCACAGACCTACCTGTGTCTCAGCACTTCTCACTCTATCATAAGTGATCCTTGTCTCGTCTGCCAAGTCCATCAGAAACACCTGCCACCCAGCAATGCTAAGTTTATTAAACCTACTGCAGCAAGGGAGAACCCCAACTTGACAGAATCGCTATACCGTCTCAAAATGAAGAAACTGGGGAAGGGTCCTTAGAGGGTTTCAGGGTCCAGGGTGAGTGGTCCAACCTCACCATGGTTGCAGACCCTGAAATGCAGTTCTCTGCGGGTCCTGAATAAACCCATCTTTGCTGGAGAAATACCTGGCAGTCTATTTGTTTCAGGTCAACAGCTTGCTCACCAGGACTTGCTTTAAGACCCTTACCTCGCTGGGCTTACCAACCCTAAGCTATCATGTCTTAACTAATTTTCCACCTTAAAAGACCCACCTTAAAGTGGGAGGGCACACACCTTGGCAGCGGTCGTGGAGGAAACCGGCGAGGCTTCTGGAAAGAGCTGGTGGGCAAGCTGCCGCCCCTGCACTTTTTTTGCCTGCAACCATAGCGTGTGGACCATGGCGAGGCACGTTGCAAGTCCCCACACAGCAAGGCGAGGAGAACCGTTTTACAGAGTGGAAAAGGAAGTTGGGAGGATTAAAGAGTTCACGGCTTTTCTTTTTTTAAAAAAATTTATTTATTTAATTTATTTTTGGCTGCGTTGGGTCTTCGTTGCTGCACGTGGGCTTTCCCTAGTTGTGGCGAGCGGGGGCTACTCTTCATTGTGGTGCGTGGGCTTCTCACTGTGGTGGCTTCTCTTGTTGCAGAGCACGGGCTCTAGGCTCGCGGGCTCAGTAGTTGTGAATTGCAGGCTCTAGAGCGCAGGCTCAGTAGTTGTGGCGCGTGGGCTTAGTTGCTCCGTGCATGTGGGATCTTCCCGGACCAGGGATCGAACCTGTGTTCCCTGCATTGGGAGGTGGATTCTTAACCACTGCTCCACCAGGGAAGCCCGAGTCCATGGCTTTTCATTGGCTGAATCCTTCCCAGGAAAGAAGAGAAGTCTGTCTTCTTCCTGTTGGTCTCTATCATCACAGGACACGAAAGCTCCCCCTTCCGGTCTCCCACTGTATGTAATTGAGGCTTCTGTTTCATTAATTTTTTACAAAGCTGTTAGCCTTGATAAGTAAGCTTAGTTGGTTCACAGTTTTATCTTGCAGGAGCAGCTATTTCCTGGAGCGGGCAGCTAGGTTATTTTTACTTGGTTTCTCAGTATTGTCTAACGCAGCACCGGGAAGTGTGCCTGGCCCTGGAATTGATTAACATAGTGACAGGGAGTTTGGTGGGTTTCAGTCCTTCCTGACAATCCTGTTAACCAAGCTCCAGGAGAGCAGGACACAGTCTTTCTGCAAACCCTGACGCCTAGCAGAGGGCCTGGACGTGGTCAGCACACGGCAGATGCTGGTTGACCCGGTGTGTCTGTCGGCACCACTCAGTGGCCCAGGGAGCCTCTGGGGGATCCAGCTACAGGAGACTGTGTTTAGCAAAGTCCTGCTCCAGGTGGATCCCGGCAAGCAACGTCAGCATCACCTGGGAGTTTGTGGGAAATACAGAATCTCAGGCCCCACCCCAGGCTCTCTGTTAGCAGCTGCGTGTGGGGTTGCACATTAATGTCTGGGAAGCACAATGCTGGGCTTGGCTGCTTGTGGGAGCCGCTTGAGGTTCTGTTAAGCAAACGTTCACAGAGCACTTCCTACGTGGCAGGCAGGTATAGAGCCCCGCAGGCACCGCAGGGAGACCTCTGGATTTCATACTCTGCAGGAGGACAGGCACAGAAACAGCTCCAGGACAGCGAGGGTGTCAAAAATGAACTGTTTCTTTCTCAGTACCAGAGAAAGAGTTCTGTGCTTGAGTCCAGATTTAGCAGGTGTGTGTGTGTGTGTGTGTGTGTGTGTGTGTGTGTGTGTGTGTGTAAGGAGCCTCCTCTTCCCTGTGGAACTGTAAGCGTCTGCTTGGCTTCCCCTGAACCCTTCCTGTCCTTTCCTGCGGCAGATCCTGACAGCGAGTGGCGACGGCACGTGTGCCCTGTGGGACGTGGAGAGCGGGCAGCTGCTGCAGAGCTTCCATGGGCACGGGGCCGACGTGCTCTGCTTGGACCTGGCTCCCTCAGAAACCGGGAACACCTTCGTGTCTGGGGTAAAGACCCAAGGAAGATCTCTGGGGGGGTCCTTTGTCCACGAGGGAGGCTCATGGTGGCACTTCCTGTTAATTCGTGGGACTAGACTGGACACTTACCTGGATGGGGCTGAGATTCCTTAAATAGGTAGCAGAGAGTTAGCATCTGAGAGCCTTAGAGACAGTCGCTAGGCACCAGGAGGCTCAGGTGGCAGGGGTGGTGAAGCATCGCTGTGGCGTGATCAGAGCTTTGACACTGGTGGGACACTCTCCCGCCCCACCCCTGCCAGTCGCCAGCCCCTCCCACTCTCGGGCACAGGGAACAGCGTATCTGAAGGCTACGAGTCGGACAGGCAGGCCACCATGGCAGAGGAGCACCAGATGAGCCAGGATACCTGGGACCCACGTTTGCTACCTGACTCTACATTTCATCCTCTGTAAACTGGGCATAAGGCACGCTAGCATTTGCCCCCCACCTTCCCCAGGATGTTGTGAGCAGCAGAGGGAAGAGTTTACAGTGTGTTATGCAGAGAGGCAAGTATTTCTACGGACACCTGGGAATAAGAATGGAGAACTGAGGTGGTTGACCTGACCCCTGGGTCCTGTCTCATCTCGCTCAGGAGACAAGTGATGAGAGAGGACAGAGATGCAAACGCTGTCTAATGATGTTTGCTCCGAGCTGCCCACATCTTAGTCCCGGGCCTCAGGTGAGGGCTGTGAGGCCTCGAGTTGGCAGGGACCCTGATTTTCTTCTTGGGTATTTGGCCCTATCTGTGTACATTTCATTCTTGTGTCTTTGTATAACTGTATTTATCCCTACTCAGCTACACTCTTTTTTCAAATTGTTGATATCATTGTGGATTGTATTGTCTCTTCCAGAGTATTAAACTCCATCTGATTTAGGGTCCTGTAACGATTTGAAGAGACTCGCTGATTCCTTTGTCCACATTCTCAGTAAAGATGCTTGGAGTGCGGCACTCCCACAGCAGGCCTTTCTGAGACATCAGTCATGGCACCTCATCCACCCTTTCCTCTGAGTTGAAACCAACAACTTGGACACCAATTTTAACCCATGACTCCTTCTGTTTGACCTTTGAGAGTCTAATTATATTGCTCATGCTTGATCACAGAAAGCTCTGCAGGAATTTATCAAAATGCTCCCGGAAGCAAGAGAGTATGGGAAAGCCTAGTGTTCATGATTCTCTGGGTCATGGTAGCAACCCAGAGAAGGTTCACTTTACAGGTGTTGAGGCAGAAGTCCAGGGAGGTGACTTGCCTGAGCCACCCAGCTGACTGCGGGCAACACCCTGACTAGGCTGCTGGGGTGCAGCTGGCCCAGGGGCACCTGGCTCTCCACCTGTGCTCAGGCTGCCCCACACACCTGGGACAAAGCTGGGAGGTCCCACCACACCCACTGTCCACCTGCCCTCCTCTCCTCTGGACTTATAGAGGCAGAGATAAAGAGGAGGGGGAAAGAGAGGGAAAAGTGAAGAGAGATGCCCAGGAGGAAGGGGAGAAGGAGGCTCTGGAGAGTTTGCAGCCCCTCAGAAAGCTGGGAGAGAAGAAAACATGCTTAAAAGGGGGCTGGGTGCCTTCCCTTGCTCGTCACCCTGACCCCAAGACCTCTCTCTGGCCGCGTGAGGGCTTATCAGTTGAGGAAAGTGGCCTTAGGTAAAGCTAGTGCCAGAAAAGCATATTGTCAGCCATTTACTAATGGGAACTAAAAGGTCTCTGTGACATAACCAGAACTCATGCCTGTCTGTAGACATTCCTTGCATTGTACATAACTCTGGGTAACTTTCTGTTTGTAGGGATGTGACAAGAAAGCCATGGTGTGGGACATGCGCTCCGGACAGTGCGTGCAGGCCTTTGAAACACACGAATCTGACATCAACAGCGTCCGGTCAGTGAGTAGAATGTTCACGTTGCTCCTCTGTCCTCCAGTGTTCCCCGGCCTGGGCTAGTACTTAGCCTCTAGGCTCAATTTATTTGGTTGAGAGAGGCTTTTCCAGCAATAATGGCTGATTTGTGGTGGGACTGAACAGCACTCCCGATTTCTTGGAGAATTTTAATATAATTGCACTAGGGGCAATGGATATTATCCTGTCTAGGTCAAGTCAGTGTTTCTCATTCATTCATTCAAAAAATGTTTATGAAGTCCTTATCTGCTAGACATTATTCCAGAAACTGGGAGTACTGTTTTGAACAAGACAACATCTCTACTGTCCTACAGAAGACAAAGCACAGATAAATGTGCTATTTAAGTATTGCTAAGTGCTAAGAAAAAGTAAAACAGGGAACTGTGATAAGATGGGTTATTTCTTTGAATGGTCAGGCCTCTCTGATAAATTGATGTTTAAATTGAGACCAGGATAATGAAGGAGCCAGGCTTGCAAAGAGCTGGGGGGAAGATCAGGGAGGTGAGATGTTCAGGGACCTAACAAAAAGCCAGGTCACCACTAGCGAGTCCTGAGTTGGGGAGGTGGCTAGCGTGATCCATGTTTTGCCTTTAAAAGGTCACTCTGGATGCTGTATGGAGAATGGATTGTAGGGGAGCAAGAATGGAAGTATGACGGCCAGTTAGAAGGTTGTTGTGTGAGTTTTAGAATGAAATGATGGTGGCTGAAACTAAAGAAGACACACAGGGAGGATAGAAATGTCCAGAATTGGGAAGGAGTTGAGATTTTACCCTAGCTGCAAGCTATGAAGTAAGGCTGCCACAGATTCATGGATGCTGCTAGAAGGAATGAGACTCCTGGGTTAGAGATGAAGGATAGTTGGTGACTCATAGTGATGGCAGTAGCTGGGGTATCAGCATTTTTGTGCTGGTTACCTAAGCCCCAATTCTACAGGGTCACATGAAAAAGGGCCAAATGACACCTGCCCATGCAAAGGGCTGCATTATAGGAGAAGAACCCTGAGCTCAGGGAACCTGTATCTTTTATAAGGGGCAGTAAGCATTGATCCATTTGCTAAGACAGGGAGGGTTGGAGGCAGTGCAGGGAGAAGGCAGTGGTTGCATATGGATTCTGGAGCTCTGTCTTGGGCCAGCTAAGTCTGAGACGCTATTATATGACCAAGTGGGAATGTCAAGTAGGTAGCAGGAGCTGTGAACCGGATTCCAAGAGAGAGGTCAGGACTTGACATATATATTTAGAAGCTGGCACTGTCAGGACAGCATTTAAAGTTTAATCACTCAAGAATATTTATACTTAGAGGAAAGTACTAGACTTATTCCCCTTAAAAGCCAGAACACAGGGCTTCCCTGGTGGTGCAGTGGTTAAGAATCCACCTGCCAATTCAGGGGACACGGGTTTGAGCCCTGGTCCGGGAAGATCCCATAGGCCGCGGAGCAACTAATCCCGTGCACCACAACTACTGAGCCTGCGCTCTAGAGCCCGTGAGCCACGACTACTGAGCCCGTGTGCCACAGCTACTGAAGCCTGCACGCATAGAACCCGTGCTCTGCAACAAGAAAAGCCACAGCAATGAGAAGCCCGCACACTGCAACCAGAGAAAAGTCCACATGCAGCAGTGAAGACCCAACACAGCCAAAAATAAATAAATAAAATAATAGTAATAATAATTTTAAAAAAGCCAGAACACAATAAGAATACTTAATTACCTTAGTGGTAGAAATATTAATGAGAATTTTCTAGCTCTTTGACCTCAAATGTAGGAAAGGAAAACAGGGGAAAAAAAACTATCACTTTTTGCACATGTGCAGTAATTACCCAGAAAATCCAAGGAAATCAATTGAGAAATTACTACAGATAGTAAATGAGGTTTGTTTGGTTTTTTTTGTGGTACACGGGCCCCCCCCCCCACTGTTGTGGCCTCTCCCATTGTGGAGCACAGGCTCCGGACGCGCAGGCTCAGTGGCCATGGCTCACGGGCCCAGCTGCTCTGCAGCATGTGGGATCTTCCCGGACCGGGGCACGAACCCGTGTCCTCTGCATCGGCAGGCAGACTCTCAACCACTGCGCCACCAGGGAAGCCCAGTAAATGACGTTTTTAAGATACAGGATAGAATATAAAGCCACAAAACTAAATTAAATCCCTATATATTCATGAAATAACAGCTTAAACATGCACGTTCTCTCACCCATGCTGTTCCCTCTACCTAGGACCCTCTTCTTCTAATATCCACCAGGTCTCTACTTAGGCTGCCCTCTCTCCAGAAGGCCTGATTATTTTTCTTTTTAGATATTTATTTATTTTGGCTGTGCCAGGTCTTAGTTGCAGCACGTGGGATCTTCGTTGCAGCGTGCGGCATGCACACGGGATATAGTTCCCCGACTAGGGATCGAACCCGGGCCCCCTGCACTGGGAGCGCGGAGTCTTACCCACTGGACCACCAGGGAAGTCCCTGAAGGCCTGATTAGAGGAGGGGATGACTGTAACAGTAATAATCATTAGTTATTGCATGCTTTTTATTTGGCACCATGCCACGTTCTTTGTATAATATGTATACTGTCTTATTCAGTCTTTATAGCAGGAAATGTGCATTATCATCCTCACTTTTCAGATGAAGAAACTGAGGCTGGGCCAGGTGAAGGCACTTGCCAGAAGTATCCCATGTAGTGAGTGGTCAGTGCAGACAGCTTCCCGTGGCTCTGTATATCTGATTGCAGTGTCTGTGTTTATAACCACTGTCTTATCCCTTAGCTCTGGCCAAGTCTTGGGAATGGGGTATATGATCAAGGGGAAGCAAGGATACAGGGGACCTGCCTGTGTTCAGTGTCTGGTACAGATATACATATTATCTCATTTACTCCTCGCCAATACTCTGCAAGGCCAGTGTCACTGTCCCCTGTTTACAGAGAAGAAAATTAGGTCAATGGGACCTTCCAGATGAGCCTCCCTTTCTGGCCTCTGTAATGAATGGTCTGTGTATCCCTAGAAGTCTGGGGGACCAGCATGGGACAGCCTTCCCAGATGGTTCTGATGGGCACCCAGGACTGGGAATCACCACTCTTAAGTGCTTTCTCCCCACACTTTCTCTCTGCAGATACTACCCGAGCGGAGATGCCTTTGCTTCGGGATCAGATGATGCTACGGTATGTTTCTAAGTTATTGAGAGCTTTTCCTATCCAAAGGAGAGATATGCTGACCTAATTTTAGTTTTCAAAAATAACTTTTTTCCTGATTACAGAACTGATGTGACTTCAATAAAGAAAACTTGGGGGAAAACACTAAATTATGTTAATCATTATACCCAAGAAAAATCACAGTTCGATGAATTCCTTTCTGTCTTTTTAGTTTTTAAACAAAATGCTTTATAATTTGCTTTTTTCACTGAGCAATAGATTGTGAACATTTTCCCATGCCAATACATATTTTTCTCCCACATTATATTTTCTTACTGATTGAATAGTTTTCCATGTTATGGATATGCCATCACTTACTTAACCAATCTTCAAGTTTTGGGTCATTAGGTTTTTTCCAAGGTTTTCTTTCCTGTTAAAAACACTGCTATAAGCAAATATTTTTGGTACCTCTCTTATCATTTCCTTAGAATTAATTCTCTGACATGAACTTGTTGAGTTAAAAATCAGCCTAGGTTTTTTTTGTTGTTGTTGTTTTTTGCGGTACGCAGGCCTCTCACTGTTGTGGCCTCTCCCACTGAGGAGCACAGGCTCCGGACGCCCAGGCTCAGTGGCCATGGCTCACGGGCCCAGCCGCCCCACGGCATGTGGGATCTTCCCGGACCGGGGCACGAACCTGCGTCCTCTGCATCGCAGGCGGACTCCCAACCACTGCGCCACCACGGAAGCCCAAAATCAGCCTAGTGTTAAGGCTTTTGATACTAATTGTCAAATTATGTTGACCTGTATTTCAGGAGAAAAAAAATATCCTCCTGTGCCCTCAAAATAGCCAATATCTTATTAAATAATGAACTGCACTCTAATTTGCTATCCTGGAAGAATTACAGGGGAATAGATTGAGGGTTTGATAATCATGAAAATTTTAAACTTCTGTATTTCAAAAAATATTTAACAAAATTTAAGGGCATACCTTTGGGAGAATTCAAGAGCTTTCAAAACTTCCCTACCCTTTGATCCAGCCATGCTATTTCTTGGGAACAATTCTATTCTAAGGATTCTATTTTTTAGCTGTTCTAAGGAAAATATCAGAGATGCATATAAAGATTTTTATAGAAGAAGGATCATGGCTTCCCCATAATTTTATTTGTAAAAGAGAAAAATCAGACGTAATCAAACACTTAGCAGGGTATAAGCTAAGTAGATTCTGATATATCCACATGAGGAATATAACAACCATATTACTCCTGTTTTTTTTTAAGATTATTTAATGATATGAGAAAATGCTCATAACATAATGCTAATAGAAGCAATAATGAAACATCCTCCCCATTTAAATCCACACATAAAATAGATTAAGACTGAAGGGAATCGTCCAGATGTTAGTAAATACCTCTAGGATTGGGGGTGACGTTTATTTCCTTCTTTATGCATTTCTGAGTTTTCATGAATTTTCTGCAGTGAACACATATTCTTTGTCAGAAAAAAAAAGAGGGCTTTCATTTTTGTTTTTGTACCTAAAGAAATCTGTATTTGCTGTTTCTTTGAATCTCCAGTAATCCCTGGAGATTGATAGGAATCGGGATTGAGGGAGAAAATACTAGGAGAGAAAACGAAAGAGGTTTTTCCCTTATCTCTCAAACTACACAAGCCACTGGCACCAGCCTGTAGCTCTGTAGCCATCAATGCACCAAACAGGATCCAGAAACAAGTGCCTCTTTGTCTTCTTTGTCACCCCAGTGTCGCCTCTACGACCTCCGGGCAGACAGGGAGGTTGCCATCTATTCCAAAGAGAGTATCATCTTTGGAGCTTCCAGCGTGGACTTCTCCCTCAGTGGTAAGATTTTATTTCAGAAACTTTCCCAGGACCATAAAACAGGACTTCAATGAAACCCAGCTCTGCCAAGCTTCCCCTCCTAGCTAAACTTCCTATGGGTCCATGTGCTAAAGAGTCTACTTTTGCACCAGTTTTCCTCCACTGCATTTTTGACAGCCCGCTTTGCCCTGCCTGAAGCAGCTTCCCCGGCCCAGTTCACTCCACGGGAAATGAAGGCTGGGCCCACCTAATGCTCTTCTTCAAAACAATGATGTATCAAAACTGCATCTGCGCCTTTAGGCATTTCCTCTCCAGCCTTCCATTTTCCTTTCACACCTGAAAAGGGACCTTTTTTTCCAGAGGTGGGGCGGTGGCGGGGTGGGGGGGGGGGGGGGGGGGGGTGGAGTGAGCAAGAGTCCCTTTCTTAATTCCCTGAAGCTCATGGCACCTCTGCCCTCACAGCTGGGGAGGCTGCCTGTGAAAGTTAAGGCAGCACTCGTATGCTGGGTCACTGGACCATTCAGTTTTCCCAGACACTCCCCGGTTGTGTAGCTGTGCTTTTGTGCATACATGCTGCTACTGGAACGTCTTTTCCCGTCCTTCTCTGCATTGCAAACTCCTATTCAGTCCTCAAAAGCCAGCTTAAATGTTGCTTTCCCTGTAGTGCCCTTTTTTAAAAAAATTTTAATTTAATTTAATTTTAATTAATTTATTTATTTTTGGTTGCGTTGGGTCTTTGTTGCTGTGCGTGGGCCTTCTCTAGTTGCATCGAGCAGGGGCTACTCTTCATTGCAGTGCGCGGGCTTCTCATTGCGGTGGCTTCTCTTGCTGTGGAGCACGGGCTCTAGGTGCGTGGGCTTCAGTAGTTGTGGCACGCAGGCTTAGTAGTCATGGCTTGCAGGCTCTAGAGCGCAGGCTCAGTAGTTGTGGCACGTGGGCTTAGTTGCTCCACGGCATGTGGGATCTTCCCGGACCAGGGCTCGAGCCCGTGTCCCCTGCATTGGCAGGCGGATTCTTAACCACTGCGCCACCAGGGAAGTCTCCTGTAGTGCCCTTCTTGATCCCCCTTCCTCTATGATCAGATAACACTTCACACATAGCTGAGCACTTCCATGACAGCCCTTACCACAGGGTGCTGCAATGATTTATGAGTCAGCCTTCCCACCACCACCCTCCACAGGGGCCAGCAACTGTGCTTTCTCCTCTTTGAATCCCCAGGGCAAAGCACAGTGCCTGGCACATAATGGGCACTAAATCACTGTTTATTAAATGAGTGAATGAATGAATGAATGAATGAGCGAGTGCATGAGTGAGAGTCATGAAAAGAAAAACAAGAAGGAAGGAACTGGTTTCATAACCATCATATCCTCCTGCTTTAAGGTCGCCTGCTGTTTGCTGGATACAACGATTATACCATCAACGTCTGGGATGTCCTCAAGGGATCCCGAGTCTCCATCTTGTTTGGACATGAAAACCGTGTTAGTACTCTACGAGTTTCCCCTGATGGGACTGCCTTTTGCTCAGGATCGTGGGATCATACCCTCAGAGTAAGAGAGAAGTTTTTCTACTTTCCTCTGTGTGTGAGAGCAGGAGTGATTGGCCTTCCTGAAAGCAGAGAGGTCAGAGTAAGCTAGGATGGGCCTGGGCAGCCAAAACAGAGCTCTACTTTCTATTCTATAGCCACAGAGAAATGATTTGCCTGGGGAGATAGTGAGTTCCCCATCAATGCTGCTATTCAAGCATAGATACCCTGAAAGTCTGATTCCAGCCTTTGACAAGTCAGATTGCCAGTCTCACCTCCCAGTAGTGCTGGGTTCTTACTCTTTGGTCACAGACCCCTGTGAAGCCCACACAGGGGCTTCAGGAGACCTATGAAGCCCCTGCAATTATATGCTAAATTGTGTGTGTGTGTGTGTGTGTGTGTGTGTGTGTGTGTGTGTGTGTGTGTGTGCGCGCGCATGCGCATTTTTCCAGGAAAAGTGTCCTCATGGCTTTTATTAGATTCTCAAAGAGCTCCATGACTTTGTCAGATGTTGGCTCCCTAGAAATGCCACCAAAATAACCTGTTCATCAAGCAAAGCTTACCTCACTGTGGAAGATCACAAACTTGACAGTCTTATTAGCATTTCAGAAGGGGAGAGCAAAGGCAGGTATTTATGAGGTTTGGGGAGTCTGGTTGAAGGCAAGTCTTTTGATGGAGGGACTTAATTAGGATTGGACAAATTTGTGGCATAGTTTAAGGTTGTTGGACACAGGGTGGGGGGAGGGAGAGAATTTCGAAGACCATCTTGAAAAGTAGGCGGTCATTTGATGCTGTGTACTGTCGTGAGAAGTGTGTGTCTTTTCTAAAGAGGGTAATTGAGTGGTCTAGTCTTAGGGTAAATAGATAAAAGGATTTTTGCAAAGTTCCTGAAACAAACAGTAAAGTTATCTGTGACTTCATCATCCTGGGCAAGAGTTTGCTAAATTAATAAACATGTCAGTGTACCCAGTGAGCTGAATGGGTACAGAGGGTTCTGGTTTTCAATCTAAGAGTTACCTTCCCTAGCAAGAAGGCCACAGATGCCCTTCAGATGATTAACTAAGGGAGAGGGGGAGCCAGGGCCAAAGAAGCACCTTTGAGTTGCTAGGAGTAAAGTGTTATCTTTCTAAGACATGTGAATGCTCTACTTTGGATGTCGTGTGTATGTTTGTGTATAGTAGACTTTGATTTTATCTCTTTAAACTCAGGTTTTACAAGTCATTAACTGAAAACAGACTAAAAATTATCTATTTGTGTCTTTGCAGGTCTGGGCTTAATCATAATTCACATATAGGTACCTGAGAATAGAATTTGAAATCGTCACATGTAAATAGATCTTGCTCCTAGAGGATCTCAGAGTTTATTGCAACTTAGCTTAAGGGAGCAGCTCCATGACTGAAAGTTCAGCAAGCATCTCCAATATTACTGTTAAAACCACCACCCTGGAAAGATCCCAGTGTGAGCCTTTAGCACTATGAGAACACCTTCAAGTACAGTGTTTTTCACTTCAGACACTTTTTAAAATGTATCTGTTTTTAAGGTTATTCTAAACTATCGTCTCAACTCATTCTATCCCCAGTACAGTTCAGCATATAATATATTCCATATTGTTTCCTTGAATCAAATTTATTTTTCGGAGCACTTTAAAAGCTGATTTTTCTCAGTGTACACTGTGACTTTTGGAACGTTCCCCTGCAAGTGCTGACTTTAATGGACTGTGTGAGAAGGACAGTGTTAATTGGTCTTTGATAGAAGACAATGCCAATTCCAAATGTAATTCGACAGAATCAATTTTTTTAAAGTGTGTTTTTATGGTGAAAGTATCCTTTTCAGCCTTGCGTCCTATTGTATTTTTTCGGATAAAACATTTTCATATGTGCAAACAGTTATAAATGAAGCAGAGATATCATAAGATAGAAGGTTTGATGTGTGAATCTTGTGATGGTGGGATATATCTCTGCATCATGGGGACAGGACGTTTTCTTAGAGGGAAAAGCTGAATGTTGTTTGTGACACAAATGCTTCTCAGAGCAACCAGAACCTTTCTGTGTGGGAACACAAGACAGTAAACTCATTTAAAAACCTGTTTGTAGTGTTAGACGTATTAGGATTAGTAGCATCTACTCAGGCTAAAATGAATCTTGTTCATATCAGTTATACTCATCTTTATTGCATCGCAAGTGCAATTACATATACAAATTAATTGATAGGCCTCGAATGATAATGTCTTTGCTTCACTTATATTGAGGAAAAATGACATAAAATATATCTTGTCTTTATGTGAAATTCAGCAGTTCCTTCTGGAAGGTACCAAGTGCTTTAGTTACAGGATCCCTTATTTTCTGTTCTGTTTTGTTTTAAGGTGTAGAGGCTGATTCTCTGTTTTAGAAAACTCCTCAGTCATAAAGATGGCATGCATCACTTAGGGAAAGAAAAGGTCATCTCAGACCAAAAATAGTTCCTGGGTGAGGCTTGCCCTGTGGGTGGTCTGGGGTCTGGCAGGCCAGGTTCTCGTGGTGCCCGAGGGCTGTGTGTGCTGAGTCCCCTGGATCCTCGGTCCCCTCTCCTGGCCCTGCTCCAGCCTGGCCCTTTTCCTAATGGTAGTTCTGGCTTTGCAGGCCCAGCCGCAGGCTCTGCTGCTTGAAGTTGCCCTTCCAGGGCTGGAGCCATCCGACAGGCCTGGACCCAGTGCCCCTGTAAACCTCAGGGGGCGTGCCAGGACCACCTGCAAAACAACTTGTTCAGGTATCAAGATGGGCCCAGTCAGTCAAAAATTACCCAAGCCAGCTTTTCAATCAACTCTTTTTAAATAAACATAATGATTATATGCAATCATTTGCCAAGAAAACATTTACCAAGGGTTTTACTACACAACAGGCCCTGGAGTAGAGAGAGAAAATATGAAAAGGCTCCTGCTCACCCCCCTACCCCCTCACCCCCCCTCCTCCTGCATCCCCCAGACCTCCACCCCGCCCTACCCACCTTGAGAGCCCAGAGGGAAGATTCCAGTCTGAACAGGGGCTCAGGGAAATGGGCACAGGGTCTACCCAGCTCCTGCCAACTGCTGAAGGGCTGGCCCCACAATGTGTCCTGTGAAATTCCCAAGCTCTGCTCCCAGAATGTTCCTGAGCTTGTTCCTGGGCTCCTAGTTATGGCATCCCCTTCCCTCTCTCCCACACACCTTTTTGTGTCTCTGCACTCTGACCTGGGCCTCCCAGAAGTGAAGGAAGGCAGGGCAAAGGAAAAGTCACCCAGACTCTGGGGAAGCAAATTCAAGGTTATATGTTTGGAGAGGTGGGGGAGCATCTTCAGTATATGTGCAAAATAGCCCCTAACTTTCCAATCAACAAAGTGACCACAATGTGACCACATTTCAGCCATAAAAAGAAATGAAATTGAGTTATTTGTAGTGAGGTGGATGGAACTAGAGACTGTCATACAGGGTGAAGTAAGTCAGAAAGAGAAAAACAAATACCGTATGCTAACACATACATATGGCATCTTAAAAAAAAATGGTTCTGAAGAACCTAGGGGCAGGACAGGAATAAAGATGCAGATGTAGAGAATGGACTTGAGGACATGGGGAGGGGGAAGGGTAAGCTGGGACGAAGTGAGAGAGTGGCATGGACTTATATACGCTACCAAATGTAAAACAGATAGCTAGTGGGAAGCAGCCGCATAGCACAGGGAGATCAGCTCTCCGTACTTTGTGACCACCTAGAGTGGTGGGAGAGAGATGCAAGAGGGAGGGGATATGGGGATATATGTATACGTAAAGCTGATTCACTTTGTTATACAGCAGAAACTAACACACCATTGTAAAGCAATTATACTCCCATAAGGATGTTTAAAAAAATAATAAATAATAATTTTTTTAAAAGTGACCTTCAAGGCCCTAAGAAAGTATTCCCTCAAACACTCACCCCCATGGGCAGTTAGCCACCTCCCCTATAAGTATTTAATCTCACAGTGCCTGTTGTTTAGTATTTATTGATGAAATACTTGGTTGGAAATATACTACACCACATGGAAACTGAAGGATAAACCCCAGGTAATAAATTATATTTTGCATATTCAAAATAATGCTGAGTGGAGTGTTTTAATCTGGTTTTCTTTTTTTAGAGGACTTGGAGGCAAAGCTACCAAACCATTGTGGTAAAGGGGCCAAATAGATGTGCCCTGAGGTGTGCATAGCCTTGGACACCCCCTTTCCAGCCAGAGAAGAGAAAGGTTAGGCAGACAGGGGGGTCAAACAAGGAGGTATGTGATGACAGGTGTTTGTGGGAAATACCTGTGAACTGAAACCAAGGCAGCTGCTTTGGAGGGAATGGGCGGCTGGCCTCCCAGAAGTAGGGCCCTGCTGCTGGTCCTGTTCTGGAATGAGCCCAAGGCCAGAGCAGGCACCCCATATCCACTTCCCTCTTCCCACCCTGGACCTCCTCTATACCCTTCCCGGGATTATAAGTGGCTTAAAAGCAGTACAGGTTGTAAGGGCCTTAGCATCCCTTGCCTCTCATAGTTGCTTGGCCATCTGGCTAGAAGGTGGTCCTGCTGACACTAGGACTCATCTCTAAGAGGGGGACGGCATGGGGACAAAGGATGTGCACCTAGTTTCAGACCCAGCTCTACCACTTTTACAGGATATACAGTGTCTAAATTTGTCTCAGCCTTAGTTCCCTCATCTAGGAAATGGGACAGTTCCAAGGTATGTAAAGTACCTTCCCCTCCTCCCTTTCCTGTTCCCTTCTTCTCCTTTCCAACTCCTTTCCCTTCTCCCTCCTTCTCCCCACTCCCTTGCAACATCTCCTCCCTCCTCTCTCTTCTTCTTTTTTTTTTTTTTTTTTTTTTTTTTCCCGGCCTCTCCCTTCTTTGGCCTCTCCCGTTGCGGAGCACAGGCTCCGGACACGCAGGCTCAGCGGCCATGGCTCACGGGTCCAGCCGCTCCGCGGCATGTGGGATCCTCCCGGACCAGGGCACGAACCCGTGTCCCCTGCATCGGCAGGCGGGCTCTCAACCACTGGGCCACCAGGGAAGCCCATCTTCTTGTCTCACCTCTTTCCTTATCCCCTTCCTCCTCCCCCCTTTCCCCCTCTTCTTCTCCCCCTCCTCTCTATATTCCCCTTCCTCTTGTTCATTCTTTTCTCTCCTCTCCCCCCACCCCACATAAGCGATCCCTACTCATGTATCAAATTGGTAATTATCATCAGTTAGAGATTCATCTGGGCCAGTGGTTCTCAAAGTTTTCCATCTTAGGATCCCTCTACACTCTTAAAAATTATTGAGGACCCCAAAGAGCTTTTTGTTTATATGGATTATACCTATCAGTATTTATCATATTAGAAATTCAAACTGAGAAAAATCATAAAACAAGAATACAGAAGCTCATATTCCAGTGATGATGCCTTCACCACACATCAGTAGCCTCTGGAAAACTCCTGAGAAAGTGAGTGTTTTAAAAGCCACACATATTATTATGTAATATGTATTATTATAAAAATAGTTTTGACCTTGGAGGATCCCCTGGAAGGACTCCCAGGGTCAGATCAACTTTGAAAGCAGCTTATCTGGGCTAATGAGCCCTTTTCCAGCCCCTCCCTGTGAGACCTCCCTGGGGCCATTCAGGCCCTTGTAGGGGTTTGGAAGTGGAGGAAGAAGGTAATTGAGAGAGGGGGGCTCAAACGGAGGCTCTGGGGCAACCATATGCTGCACAGGAGGGGCCCTGCGGGCACAGAGAGGCAGTGGGAAAGGCAAGAGACCAATGGGGGCTGTGAATCACTGAAAAGCTCTAGATATTTTCAGTATTTTAAAAACAAAAACAAAACCAGAAACCATATAAGTAAGGCTCACCCAAAATGTCACATCTTGATTTTTTTGTTAAAAATGGGACAAGCGAGCCTGGTAACCCTGGTCAACTCATACTAATAATACAAGCTCCTCTGTAAAGAGCTTTTACTATGTGCCAGGTACTATGCTAAGGCCTTTGCACATACCAACTCATGTAATCCTTGTAACAGCCTATAATGCAGTTTATTGCCTCCATTTCATCGGTGGGGAAATTGAAGTTGGGAGGGCTGAATAACTTGCTCATGGTCGCCCAGCTTCTGAGCGGCAGAGGGGGGATTGTAACCAAATCTGACTGCACACTGCATAGGAAATTCTGTGTGGAGGTTAATTTATTCATTTGTTGTTTGATTGCACTGATAACTATTAGAGTTAACCAATGGCAGGGCCAGAGGATCTACCACTAACCCCCAAGCTACTCCAAATCTAAGAAAAAACTGTGTGCTTGCTGCTAAAATATAATGTCCAAAAAGATAAAATCATGACTCCCTTGAAAATAAAACATGAAGATATATCAAAATGTTTATTTAACTTAATAAGGGAATTCATAAGATGTCACAACCAGCTCAGCTTGACGTACAGAGATGTATATTCCCTTCGGGCAAAATTCATATGGCTCACCATAGAGGAATCACTGGCACTGGCAGATCAGGCACTCAGCAGTAGCATTAGCCAGCTCAGCCTTTGTAAGGGGAGTTCTGTTGTTGCCACATCCTCGCTCCCTGCTGCATGGCCTCTTCATTCACAGTCCCATGGAGCAAGCACTGTGGCAGCTGTGTAAAGAAGCTCTCCGACCTCCACAGAGCACAGGAATTTGTCTACCTGATTATTAAGAGTCTTCTCTGCAGTGACTGCCCTTTGGAGGTGTTGACATGGGAGATGGGTATCTTCATTCTGCCTCTTCAGAGGGGTCCAGCCACGTATCTCTGTCCAAGATTTCCTTGTCACCAATCTTCAAGGCCCTGACCATCCAGCCAAACCATCAGCAACTGCCCATGAATCAATGTAGATCTGTACTCTGGCCATCTCTCCCCCCAGACATAGTGTACAGTCATATATCCTGTTTGAATTTCTGCCCACTGGGAGGATTTTCCTTCACCATTGTCTTCACAGTCCCCCATGAGTGGGGCTATAATGCTCCAGCTGTCCACTTTCATGTAGTACCAGCATATCATACAGACCCATCTATAATCCAGGCTTGAGTTTTCTCCCTCAGTCAGCTGGTCATAAGCAATCCCCTGAAGGTCATAGGCATGGAACAAGAGAAGCGGCAGACAACAGGGGCTGTGTTGCAGGGGTCTGAGCCGCCTACTCACAATTTACTTGTACCTCATGGACCCGCCTGAGTTCAGTCTTTCATATACCATTTCCACTCGATCAAAGATTGCTGCTGTGCACACCCAACCTTAAAACAAGGCACGTCAGACAACGTCCATATTATGAGGAGAACTCAAGCTGCATGGTCACCTCATTCAGCCTCTACGAAGACCTAGTAGCAAGCCAGAACCTGCTTCTCAAAAGGATCGTCATCTGCAGAAGAGGACGTAGATTTGCTTCACAGTCCTAGAGGTCTGCACCATAACTGTATCGGTGCTTGCCAGAGGCTCCATACAGCTTCTCTATTTGACACTTCAAGTATCATTGGACCCGCTGGATCATAAAACCCAAGTGATAGAGTAGCTTGTACTGTAGCCTAGACAGCTGCAGAGCCTTCTCTTGTTCTGCTTCCCAATCCATCCGCCTATAGATGGGTTGAGGTTGCATACTCAAATGTGTATGTTGCCTCCAGAGTGACCTACCAAGGGTTGTGCCTCTTTCTTTTTGTCGGTGATACAAGCCGCAGCAATTCATCTTCCACCCTGACGGGGATATTTCAAAATGCTCCAGACCAATGAACCCTCACAAATTTCACTGCTGGTACAATTCTATGTCAGTCTGTGTCCAATCAGGAGAAAGAAGCCATAGAGTAACATGAACAGAGAAAGATTAGTATAAGAAGTATTAACTATAATAGGGAATTGGAGTAACGGACTGGCCAGTAAAAAGTGGAGAATTCTAAGCAATATAGGGATGGTAGCTTTCGGAAGCAGCCAAAAGCTGGGTACTCCCTCAACCTCTATTGTGGTGATAATTTAACTGTGCTGTGATTGCCTGTTTCTTTGTCCCATCGCTAGACTCTAGGGTCCTTGAGAGCAGGAACCACATGCCTTGTTCTCCATTATATCTCCAGTGCCAAGGGGGAGACCTACCACCCCAAAGACTAGGAGTAAATGAGTGAATGAATGAGTGAATGCAGCCAATATTGGCACTCTAGCAACCTGCAGGAGAATCATCCTGTTTCCTGCTACGTATCCCAGACCCAAAGAAAGGTACCTCCCACACACACCTGGATGCTTCAGTCCAATCTGAGAAGATGCTGATAATCCTTTCAAGGGAGCCGCCAGTGGAGGGCTGTGTGTAGCCTTTGTCAACCTCTCCTAAAAAGGAGGCAAAAGTCTAGCCCAACTTCCCAGACTGTCCCCACTGGGTTCTTAGTCCCCAAGCCGAGAGCTAAACAATAACCCCAGAAGAGTCTCACTATGCCCCTGATTGCTATGTGAACACATGCACACAGCTGGGCCTCGCCTATTGGGGCCGGAACAGGTGTAGATGGGATTCCCATCAAAGGCTCCTCTCGGGACCTGGGAAAGCAACTGCCCGGGGCGGACCGGGCCGAGCCGAGACAGAGCGGAGCGGGGAGGGGCGGGGCGGGGCGGGGCGCGGGCGAGCCTAGAAAACAGGCCCGGTCAGGCCCCGGCAGAGGCGGAGTCACGGGGGACGCGTTCAGGGAGTGCACAGCCAGGCTGCTGATGGACTACCTGGAGTACTGCTCCCGCGAGCCCGGCACCCCCGTGCGGGCGCCGTCCACGCCCGTGGCCGCCGTGCTGCGCCCGTGGCCGCCTGGAAACAGAAGACCAACCTGCACTTCTTGTCGCAATACCGCGGCTTCCGCGGGAACCGCGTCGAGCTGGTGGCCTGGACGGCGCAGGAGCTACTCGCCAACAACCGTGGTGACCCCAGCTGGGGCCGCGTGGCAGCGCTCGTGACCTTCGCGGGGACGCTGCTGGAGAGGCCGCCGCGGGAGGTCCGTAGGCGGAAGAAGACGGAGAATGAAGACGTTAGCAGAGACTGCCGGTTCCTGGTGGCCTTGCTGTGTGCTCAGCTCTCCGGACGGCACCGCGCCTGGCTGATGGCGAACGGCGGCTGGGTGAGCGCGGCGGGCGCGGGGACCCGGGGCGGGTGGGCAGCCCGGGACGCGCCCACGCGGCCGGCGCCCCGAGGGACCCTGCGGCGCCAGCCCCGTGGGGCGTTCGTTTCAGCAGGCCTGGGACATTCGTGGTGAAGTCCGGCTTTCTCCTCTACTGGCGGAGTCAGTCACCAAAACAGGCCTAGCTAGACGGCTCTCATACTAACCCATTCTGAAACAGCAGCTCCCGACTTGGGTTTGCACACTTCGGCCTTGTCCTTGACCGCCCTCGGGGTTTTAGGGTGAGCTCATGTTAGGTCTGGATGCTTTGCTTAGGTAGAAATTCCCAAAGTGGCGAAGTCAGCAGCGGGGTGGCCTGGGCCAGGTGGGTTATTTCTCCAACACTTATTAGATGCACCTCTCTCCATAGACCCCCACGGCTCTGCAAGTCAAGAGCACACCAGCCTAAAACGTTAGAATGAAAAGGCAGGCCCTTGTCCAGCCCCCCCATCTCTCAGGAAGAGCTGAGGCAGAGGTCTCTGGGGGGGTGGGGGGGGCGGTGGTTGCGCGGGCACCCCGTGGTGCTGACAACTCGAGGTTCCTTAACTTTCGATTCACTGCACCCAGCCCTCAATTGGGAGATAGCCAGGCGCCCTGGCGCGCAGCTGTAAGCCATTGATCTCTGTGGTCTAGGCTAGAGCGGGAGGCCCTTGCACTGCGGCTTCTAAACTGAGCTCATAATCAGCGAGAGTCTGGCCAGCCTTCAGTAAAAGGGGAGAATGCCTCCTGGGTTCTGAGCGAGACCCCTGCTTCTTTCTTCTCCTCCTTACTGGGGTTGAATCAGCAACCGTGGTGACCCAGGTTATAGAAGAAACACAGCCAAACTATTAAAACCAACAATTAAAAAAAAAATCTAAGAATCTAGGGAAGACACTGCAGGAAACTTAGCCTCCTGTTTTGCAATTTCCTGGTAGACCTGTATTGATGAATTGGGTTCCATTTGTGGAGGAGAGGTAGTATTTGAATCAACCTTGACCTTGCATGAACAGTTTGAGGTGTTAGCATTAATTCCATTCTTTTGGGATGGGAAGGGATCGGGAGGCGGGGTCTTCAACTATTCAGGCCTGTGAACTCTCAGAACGCCACCTGAGCCGTTTGTCTTAACAAGGCATTTGGCCCCCGAGGGCACTCCGCACTAAAGAGGAAATTGATAGGGGCGCATTGTTTTTGTTCTCACGTTTTGGCTAATCACCATTGAGTAAGGAACAATCTTTTAACATCAAGAAGCAGAAATTCCACAAATGAGTAAACTAGACATGCCCACACCTCTCTCAGCTGCAGTTAAAATGCCACAGGCTGGTTTTCAACCCCCCCCCCCCCCCCCCCGCCATTTTTCTGACTGGAACTGCTTGCTTTGTTGTCTCAGGGGATACCTTTCAATTTAGCGATTTGTCAGTTTCCCAAAATGGCATCAGTTCCTTGCTCAGGAAAGAACATGATACATAGTATTCTACCTTCCTCTCGGCTTTTGAAAGAAGTGAGTGAAAAGATGAGTATTCTTGCGCTAACTGACAAAGTTGTGTCCCCATGACCTTCTACCCCGTATGTTAGCCTACTTCTTACAAATACTAACTCGAAGATTCTTAATTACAAGTTACCTATTGCTCAGGATTTCCTTTTTTTTTTTTTTTGCGGTACGCGGGCCTCTCACTGTTGTGGCCTCTCCCGTTGCGGAGCACAGGCTCAGCGGCCATGGCTCACGGGCCCAGCCGCTCCGCGGCATGTGGGATCTTCCCGGACCGGGACACGAACCTGTGTCCCCTACATCGGCAGGCGGACTCTCAACCACTGGGCCACCAGGGAAGCCCTAAGATTTCCTTTTTTTACATTTTAAATTCAGGAGTTGTCTTAGTGTTTAATTTAGAACCTCCGGTGCATTTTATTGAGTACGGGTTTTGAGTGTTATGAAGCAATCTAGGTTCTCTTCTCCCTCCCCTTATAGGATGGATTTTGTCTCTTCTTCCAACGCTCATTGCAGCCATCTTGGGAAAGACAGCTGGTCTGGGTTTTTCTCTCATACTCTACAGCAACGATCTTAATCTACTTCTGGTCAAAATTATCGTGAGTTCTAAAATTCTTAACTCATTTCTGCCTGCCGAACTGTGACCAGCCAAGCAAATTTGAGATGTGAAAGAACAAACCAGAGTAAACCACCTCCTGAGACATTTTTACCTGCATTCATATGAGTCCTACCGTGATTCAGCCAGCATTTTAACTCCTGACAAGTACTGAGAGATATTAGGACAAAGGCACAAATGGCTCTTCTTTAAATGGGAGACACAAGGGTCCAAAGGCTTATTGCTCCAAAGAATTACAGAAGAAACTGCTTTCCATTAAATAGGAAATACGGGGCTATTTGCTACCTTTGGATAAGAGTGGATATGTATCTCTCATTTATCCATGATTTCATGTGCTGCTGCTGACTGCTTTATCAAGGCACTGTGTCGGGGTGTAAAATGATACTACAAGTCTTCCCAGTCACAGTTTAGTTTAACAAAGAATGTAATAGTAAATCCTTTTATAAGGAATTCTTTCTAAATCCTTTAAAATGTAATTTCTGGGACTTCTAGGTTTTTAGAGTTAATATATTGAAATTTTATTTTTCTGACTTCAATAAATTATTAAATGTTTAAAGTTTTAATTTATGCATCTTTAAAAAAAACAGTTGGGGGCTTCCCTGGTGGCGCAGTGGTTGAGAGTCCGCCTGCCAATGCAGGGGACATGGTTTCGTGCCCCGGTCCGGGAAGATCCCACATGCCGCGGAGGCTGCGCGTCCGGAGCCTGTGCTCCGCAACTGGAGAGGCCACAACAGTGAGAGGCCCGGGTACCGCAAAAAAACAAAAACAAACAAACAAAAAAAGTTGGTTTTGCTTGGGATTCAATAAGCCTTTATTCTTAGGAGTAACTTAATTGATGACAATTTCCTTTTTATTGTCTCTTTAAATACAACACATACAATTATTTTAAACATTTAATCAATACACAGGCACATAACAAGTCCTTCTCTTTCACCTTCCATTCTGTAGTCAACCCATCGCTTGAAGTAGATGGAGAAAGAAAACTTTACCCCGTACCTGAGCCCTATGAATTTCAAAGACAAAAAATAGCTTAACAGGAGAGAAACATACAAATCTTATTTGATGTTAATGTTTTTTACAGGGACTTCATAGAAAAGAAGTGAAAACTCAAAGAAGCAGTAGGACTTGGGGTTTACATACCATTTTAACAAAGGGTGATAAATTGTGGAGATACGACTAAACAAAGAAAAGGGGTTTGGGCTTCCACGGGTGGTATATTGTGGGACAGTGACTAGGACTATATGAGGGAAGCTAATGGAAGATGAGGATTATTTTAGTAAAATTAATGTAGATTCATCTTGGTATTAACTCCCATCGCCAGTGATAAGAGTGTTCTCCCCTTCCTGGTACAAGAAGGCATCTTTCTCACAGGAAATTTATGCCCTGCTTTTAGGCAGCAGGGGGTCAGAGAGCCCTTCCTATATATGCTATTTCTCAGTTGCCTTCAGCTAAAATAATCAGTATGCCAAAGTGGTATATTTGGGGGTAACATGTTCTGATCCCCTTCAGTGGTTAACAGTGAACACAGTTATTCTAGTGCCCACTGGAATCTGCATCCGTCTGTCCTTCGGAGCCCACACAGACCCAACCAAGCTTGCTAGCAGCCAGGGGCAAAGCACCCATGAGGACAAGAAGCCAGCCCAGATCTGCTTCAGCAGCATCTTCATGGCCAAAGCTGTTGCTGATGCATTAGATCAAGACTTGGACCAAAAGGAATGGATAAAATGATTCAAGATGGAAGAGGTGATGTGACCATTACAAATGGTGCTACCATTCTGAGACAAACACAAGCGTTACATCCAACAGCCAGAATGCCGGTAGAGCTAAGGCTCAAGAGAAAGAAGGAAATGGCACCACAGCAGTGGTCATCGTTGCTGGCTCTCTCTTTGATTCCTGTACCAGGTTTTTTCAGAAATGGATTCATCATTTCCAGACCACTTTAGAAGGATTTGGAAAGGGTATTGAAATCTTGACATGCCGTGACCTGTGGAAGCGAGTGACAGAGAAGTGTTGTTCAACAGTGCAGCCACTTCACTGAGCTCAGCAGTTGTCTCTCAGTATTCAAGTCTTTCTCTTACGTGAGTGTAAATGCAGGGAGGAAAGTGATTGATCCAGCCACAGCTACTGTTGTAGATCTCAGAGATGTCAGAATAGTTAAGAAACCTGCTAATGCCCTCCAGGGTATAATGCTAAGTGAAATAAATCAGACAGAAAGACAAATACTGTGTGATCTCTCTTACAGGTGGAATCTAAAAACAAAAACAAAAAACAAGCTCATAGATAGAACAGGTTGGTGGTTTCCAGAGGTGGCGGTAGAGGGGTGAGAGGAATGGGTGGGTAAACTGTTCTTGTTTTTTTGCTTGTTTTTAGTTTAAATAAACTGTCTTTTTTTTTTAAAAAAAAAGGAAACTTGGTGGGACAATTGATGATTTTGTGTTGGTGGAAGGGCTGGTCTCTCACCCATAAGGTGGCCAATTCTGACATATCCAGAGTTGAAAAGATTAAGATTGGGCTTAAAAACAGATCATGATAATCAAACAGTTGATTCTTAAGACATGCTCTTAGTGATCTTGTATTAAATTTCCTGATCAAAATGAAGATTGTGGTAGTTAAGGACATTGAAAAGAGAAAATATTGGAACCAAGCCAATTGCTCATACTGACCAGCTTGACTGCTGACATGCTGGGTTTGGCTGAATGAGCTGAGGGGGTCAATTTACATGGTTCTGGCACACTGCTCAAGATTACAGGCTATATTATCCCAGGAAAAAGTTATAGCTGTTGTTCCTGGTTCTAACACATTGGTGATTGAAGAAGCCGGGCCCTCAGTTCATGATGCCCTATGTGTTATTCATTGTTTAGTAAAGCAGAGAGCTCTTATTGCAGGAGGTAGTGCTCCAGAGATAGAGTGGGCCCTGTGGTTAACCAGATATTCATGAACATTGAGTGGTATGAAATCCTACTGCGTTCATGCCTTTGCAGATGTTACTACGGAGCTCATTCCATCTACACTAGCTGAAACTGCTGGACTGAATCCCATGTCTGCAGTCACAGAACTAAGAAAACCGGCATGCCAAGGAGAAAAACTATAGGCATTAATGTCCAAAAGGATGGTATTTCCAACGTTTTGGAGGAACTGGTTATTCAGCCTTTGTTGGTTTCAGTCAGTGTACTGACTCTAGCAACTGAAACTGTGTGGCCCTGCAATAAACCTTTCTCTGCTCCAAACTCTGATGTTTCAGTTTGTTTTTCACTGTATGTGGGGCATATGAACTTGCATTTGGTAACAGTATGAAGTAGGACTCACTTCTTATAAAAGAAGAGTTGGGGTGGGTGTTTCAGCACTGTTTATAGATGTTCCGTTTTTTCCCAGCTAATTTGAATGTTTTCTCTAGTTTGTTGACTTATCTTTTCCTCTACTAATAGCACTCTGTCTCAATTACTATATGTTTATGACATGTTTAAACATCTGGTGTTATAGTCTAATTTACCCCCACCATTCTTCTTTCTCAAAAAAAAAAATCCTTGGCCATTTCTGTGAATTGTTTAAGTTTAATTCTGAAAACCAGTTTATAAAGAATCCATTAAGACATTGCTTTAGGATTTTGAATAGAATGGGATTGGATTGTAAATCAATTTGGAAATAAGTAGTAACTTTACAATATTGTGTCTTCCCTTCTAGGAGCATAACTCCTGTTCCACTTATTTAGGTCTCTTATGGTTTTCTTCATACAGGTCCTGTGTTTTTGCCAGGAGTATTCCAACTCTTGGAGTTCTTTTGCCACTGGGAATAGAATCTGGAGAGGATGTTTTGCCTTCCCAGAGGGAGCCTGCCTTGAAGAGAAGAGCTCACAGGACAGAGGTCAGAGATTGGAGGTGGGATGGAGCATGGAGAAAAAGTTTTGATGACGACTGAAATCTCACAATTTGGCTGAGCCTACAGCTAGTTGGGGCTCAGTAAATTTCCTTTTCTTCTTAAACTGATTTTTATTTAACTTTTATTTTATATTGGAGTATAGTTGATTAACAATGCTGTGTGAGTCTCAGGTGTACAGCAAAGTGATTCAGTTATATACATGTATCTACTCTTTTTCAAATTATTTTCCCATTTACATTGTTACATAATATTGAGCAGAGTTCCCTGTGCTATACCGTGGGTCCTTTTTGGGTATCTATTTTATATATAGCAGTGTATACATGTCAATTCCAAACTCCCTAATTATCCATCTCCACCCCCCACCCTTCCCCACTGGTGACCATTTTCTCTGTAAGTCTGTTTCTGTTTTGTAAATAAGTTCATTTGTATCATTTTTTAAAGATTTTTATATAAGTGATATCATATGATATTTGTCTTTCCCTGTCTGACTTACTTCACTTAGTACGATAATCTCCAGGTCCATCCGTGTTGCTGCAAGTGGCATTATTTCATTCTTGTTAATGGCTGAGTAATAATCCATTATTTACATGTACCACATCTTCTTTATCCATTCATCTGTCGATGGACATTTGGGTTGCCTCCATGTCTTGGCTATTGTAAACATTGCTGCAGTGAACACTGAGGTGCATGAATCCTTTCAAACCATGGTTTTCTCCAGATATATGCCCAGGAGTGGAATTCCTGGATCAAATGGTAGCTGTATTTTTAGTTATTTTAAGGAACCTCCATACTATTCTCCTTAGTAGCTGTACCAATTTACATTCCTACCAATAATGTAGGAGGGTTCCCTTTTCTCCACACCCTCTTCAGCATTTATTGTTTCTAGATTTTTTGATGATGGCCATTCTGACCTGTGTGAGGCGATGTCTCATTGTAGTTTTGATTTGCATTTCTCTAATGATTAATGATGTTGAGCATTCTTTCATGTGTTTGTTGGCAATCTGTATATCTTCTTTGGAGAAATGTCTGTTTAGGTCTTCTGCCCATTTTTGAATTGGGTTGTTTGCTTTTTTAATGTTGAGCTTCATGAGCTGCTTGTAAATTTTGGAGATTAATGCTTTGTCAGTTGCTTCATTTGCAAATATTTTCTCCCATTCTGAGGGTTGTCTTTGGGTCTTGTTTATGGTTTCCTTTGCTGTGCAAAAGCATTGAAGTTTCATTAGGTCCCATTTGTTTTTATTTCCATTTCTCTAGGAGGTGGGTAAAAAGGATCTTG